TCCTCACAGGTCACAACTATTATTGTTTTGAGCTTCGCTTTCTTTTACAAATTTTGATGTCTACGTATTTGTTTTTGGACCTATATATATATATATATGTATTCACCATTTACTCACGCAAAACAACTTTTATACGTGAGTTCAAACTGCGTTTGGAAGAAAACTATGTAACATGTCTTGAGGGGGTTTACGGATCTAGGTTTAGAATCTTTTGATAAAAAACATGTATTAAAAATTAAAGCCATGTGAATATTGAAATGATAGTATAGATATTAATATATTATACGCCCCCATATAGTAAACTACAGCTTAGTTGCTTTCATCTTTGACGACGAAAAAGTATAAATTAAATTCCGGCATCTTCTAATATTCAAATAAAATCTTGTCTATATTCGGATTCGTGCATTCGTGCAAATGTATAAGCAAGTGGGTTAAATAACTCAAAGCATGACATTACTTACATATGAATTGTAAAAGAAAAATATAAGAATCCGAATTTTATATCGGGGAACTTTCCACGGGAGGGAATGAAGATGAAGAGGATCGTATTCTGTGTCATGACTATCATTTTATACCATGAGTAGTCTCCGTTTCCTCAATTATCTTAATTCTCAATCTTCTTAGATATTATGATTTAGTATGGCCAATACTTGCTAATGGAATTATTCTTATAAGATAAGAAAAAGAGAAAAAAAGGAAAATAATTCGCAATGCTCGTAAACGCAACGCGACATCTCTAGACAAATTATAGTTTTAGTAAATGTATCTTCTATAGTTTATTCTGAATAAAACTTTGACCTTATTATTAGTTATATAATGAGATTTAGAAGCTTTGTTCTTCTCCTCTTTTTCTAATTGTTCTATTTTATTTCTCATACCAACTGTTTGGCTAACTGTTTAGCCAAATCAGCGTTATTAATATTAAGTTATATCAGTTTGGAAGAAAACTGATATCGAAAAGAAGTTCTTGACAAAAACAAAAGAGAAGAAGTATTATAGCCCCAATAAACAAAAGTATTATGTTTATCATTATTCTACTATTTTGGATCATTTTGGGTCATTTCCTATTTAATTTAAATTCATGGAGAGGAGCATTTTGATTTGTATAAGAGAGAAAGATAGGGCTACAACTTCTAGAATTGTCAATGATAATTGAAATCTTGTTTAAGGTGCTTACAAAATTGAAATCTTGTCCAATATGCTTACATAAATCTCAGCAAGTAAAGGAAAGATTAAAATACAACTTAAGAGTATTTTTTTAATTCTTCAAAAAATGAGTAACAAAGCAAATAAAAACTACTCGGTTATGCATGGGACAAAACCATAGGATATCAGATTTGGATATTTGGGAAACACATATGACCGATTATGGTAAGAGAGTATGGGATGGTTCATGGTTGATCAAAGTTCTAAATGTTTGACTTGGAATGCTTAAGATGACTAAGGTGGCTGTATTGCATCAAATATGTTACTCATTCTATTATGGTTACGTGTGTGATTGAATGTGGCTTCTACATTTTCTCTTGAATTTGCACTATATGATCGAGTGGCAAATCAAATGCGTCAATGAGTGAGTATTCCATGCAAGAACATTCAAAGATCAGTCAGCATTAACTAGTACATTATAGAGATCTGTGACTGCCGTTTGGTCATGTCGAGTCCCTTTTTTAGTGGAGAAAGAAAACAAAATATTGCTTGAAGTCTCTAGCTAGGAGCAAAGCAAATTGTAGGAAAATACAAAATAAAACATTCTGGACACTATTACTACTGTAATATATATATATATATATATTTAAAGTTTTAGTCTCTTAGTATTTGTAAGTTCCATTTTATATATAGAAAAGGTCAAGAGCAAAATAATGCACAAACATGGAGAATACATTATAAAAAACAAGAGAATAAACTAATAAAAGAAACAAGAAGGAATGTGTTTTATAATATTCTCATTTCCTACAATTAGTAAAAAGGAAAAATTATAATATAGCTCCACATGCCTCTATTGTTCTATGTGTTGGCTCTTGTATTCAATGGCCAATAAGGTACTGTTGCAAGAATCAGATCCTTCTTTTATTGTTGTTTTTCTTTGACATCTTTCAGTAGCCACAAGAGATGACCTCTATGAGTCGATTTAAACCTAAATTAATGAAGATTGTTTCGCTGAATTAGTTCACTGAAAGTACTTATACATTAGGTGTGCCTATAAACGTTGAAATAATATATAATCAAAGTTTAACAAAAATAAATACTGTAAATAAGGATTCCAATAACTAACTATTTGTTGACGTTGTTCGGTATTTGAAGTATGCACGGATAAAGAATTACTAATTAAGTATAAACTAACAAAACTGAGCTAATCAAATTACAATTGGAACATATAAGTTATTTATTTATTAAAATAATTAAAACTAAAAACACAGTTACACAAAAAAGAAAGAGAAATAGTATAGGTCTTGTATTTACATATTGGGTAAACAAATAAAGAATATAGCTATATGAACTTTTGATGAAAAAAAGCTACATTAATTAAATAACCATAGTACGTACTATTTTATTGAATAAAATGCCCTTATTTCAAATATTCTTTTGTTCAGTTTGTTTTATACCATTTAAATATAATAATATAACTTGTAAAAAAAAAACATATACATCTTTGATATCAAATTTTAAAATTTAAAAAGGATTCAGCCAAGTACAAATAGAACAAAGATGTTAGTCGTTAATGAGAACAACACAGCTATAGCCGCCAGCCACGGTAAAAAGAAGATAAAAGGCAGTGGGCAACAAATCTAAAAAAGAGAGATATCCAGCGAACGAAAGTGACAAAAGGGGAGAGGGCTGCAGGAAAAAGAGGCAAGGATACAGTTGAGATAAGCTGGAGACAGTGAGAGTCGACGACAGAAGCAGAGGAACCAGAGGCGAAGAGAAAAGATGTTACAAAACAAATCGATCAAACTATATTATATGAACATAAAAAACAGTATAGACTTGTTATATATTTTTATTCAGTTTGTTTGTTTTATACTACTTACTATACTTAAATTCCGTACATATACTCTTTGTAAATTATAATCGTTATCAACTTTGAAACGAATCCAAATAATATAAAACTGAACTTAAATGATAAATTAAACACAAACTACGGCGTATACTTACTATATCCAAACCCTATATATATATATATATATTCTTCCTAAGCTGTAATTCGTTCTAAAATTTAAAATGAACTCAAATAATATAAAACTAAACCAAAACCATTAACTACTACTTATAAATTAATCAAAATCTCAATATTATTAATATATAGAGTTTTTTTTAGTCAACATTTATAGAGTTTCTACTACATATTTTATCATATATAATATCGATCATGTAAAATATAGCTTGGTTTTATTTAACAATTATTTAATTTAAAGAAAAAGTATATGACATTTGACGTAATACTTTACATAATTAATTAAAAAAAAACATTTTCATTTCAATTACCAAACAAAAAAAACTTCCGACGTATCTGTCTTCTTTCGAGTCTCGACACATCAAATTAAAAAAAAAAACCATAATTAATACTATTGCTGGCTCTTGTTTAGTCTCCTTGCTCAGTGTTCCAGTGAAGTTGTGTTGGGAGAGACAATTCATCCCCTTTAGCTGTCTTACTAAATATTAGCTCCGGATCTAGAAATTAATGCACCAAAGAGCTTAGAATTTGTTCTGTAAATAAAATGAAAAAAAAAAAACACAGAGAATTGGTTTAGTAATGTGACGTTATAAAAGATGCCTATAGTCATAGTGTCAACTTTTGTCTGAAAATGAATCCCATTTTGTTGATATAACAACAAGAACAACGTGCGAAGATACTTTGTCTTTTAAAATATGGATGATGGAGAATTCACAAGAGGTTAAGCCTGATCATTCTATATGTCTCTATCCATATATTTTAACAAGACACTAAACGAACTTACCATCTACTAGATTAAGTCCGCCGGATAAGACAGATATGTTTTCAAATCCGAGTTATCGCATATATGTAAATCTCCGGTGGTTACATAAGAACAGTGGTATATGATTCTCAGGCTATATCACAAGAATCTGACCTTTTGTAAATGTTGGTCTTGTGTCGCGTGCATGCTGCAACTTTTTCATGTGTGATATGATATACACTCCTACAAGATATGACAAGTCCAAAGACATATGAGACACTAAAGAGAATCATATAACTGTCGTCGTAATGCATAATTTTTTTTTTTTTACTACTATTTAGATGATGTGCTGTGTTAGGGAGAAAATGATTTCTTGAGGAAACAAAAGTGTTTCACATGCAGACAACATAAGCACATGAGAAGCTTGATAATGCAGAGATATAAGCAAATGATATGAGACGCCATGTGAGATATATATCTCAGAAAACATAAAATAGCCAAAATATAAATTAGAATTATAAGAGATATTTTACTCTTTTAAAGATTTAGAGGATCTTCCCACTTGGATCGGTTGTGAAATAGGCAGTTTTAAGTTCTGAAATGGTGGAGAGCATAATTATTGGTCTATGTATTATGCAAAAGCCGCAAAGTCTCTTCCTTTTTCATTTCCACTTTTTTTGTTTTATGTAAATGTAAATCATCTATGTAAAAGAAAGAAAGAAGCTGAAGAAGAAGAAGTTACCAAGTTGGTTGAACAATTGAAGCATCTAGTACTCTTATTGCTTTGAGCTCCTTTTTTATTCAGAACTTGACAAATCTGCAATCACATCAAACGGTTAAGAGCTTCTAACAACAGCTGATGAATTTTTTCTCAATAGAAACAACTTTGTGTAAAGCGACAGTTGCAATATTAGAATCCACACGAGTCAAGACTTAAGAGGGTGATTTATTTAATTTATCTACAAGAAAAAATGGAATTAGAGGTAAGATTCTGATAAATGGAACAAAGGAAGAGATAGGTATAAATATTTGATAAAGGAATTAGCTTTAGAATAAATTAAGCAGAGAGAGAGAGAGAGAGAGAAGGTGGGAACCCACCATAGACGATTGATCGGCCAACATCGTAAAGAAAGTCTTTTTTTCTTCTGTCTCTCTCTTCCTCTTTCTGTTTCTTGCAACACACAGTAGTAAATTCTAAGTGTGTGAAGGGTGTTCTCCATACTACTATATATTCATGTGCTCACATGGTTTCCCTTTGAGGAGAGATCAAGAAGAAAGTTACCAAAGCCACTCGCTTTTTAAGCTTTCTTGCCTTTGTTTTTCCCTTTGTTACTGTTACTACTTTTAAGAACTTTCCAATAAGAGCATCACAACGGCTACGACTGCAAGGACGAGTAAAGAAACTGGTCCAGGATCCATCATGCCTCAAAACTGCATAGCTCCAAGGCCTGAAGAAAATGGCCAAGTCATGGTACAAAGTTTGGCAGATATGTCAGAAACACAGAGCAAGCCTGTATTAGCCTTCCCTGTGGTCACTTCACAACCTGGTCTCCAGCTTTCCATGTACCCCATAACTCTCAAGGTATATTCGTGTGTGTGCGTCTCTCTCTGCAAAAAAAAAAAAAGTGAAAAATATAAAAACGAGTCCTGTCCACTTGACTTTCTGAGCTTTTGAGTTATACCTGCAAAAGTTATATTCCTCTCTTCTTCCTCTAGCTTCATAGTTGGACATCATTCTAACAAAGTTTTCCATTATTTTCTTCGTGGTTGTACAGTTTGAGGAGGTTGTGTACAAGGTCAAAATAGAGGAGACAAGTCAGTGTTTAGGATCATGGAGCTGCAAAGAGAAGACGATTCTAAATGGGATAACGGGAATGGTTTGTCCAGGAGAGATCCTAGCCATGTTAGGTCCATCAGGCAGTGGCAAAACCACTCTTCTCTCAGCTCTCGGGGGCCGCCTCGCCAAAACTTTCTCAGGTAAAGTCATGTACAACGGTCAGCCTTTCTCTGGCTGCATCAAGCGCAGAACAGGTTTCGTTGCTCAGGACGATGTCCTGTACCCTCACCTCACGGTTTGGGAGACTCTCTTCTTCACCGCACTTCTACGGCTACCAAGCACCTTGACCAGAGACGAGAAGGCTGAGCATGTGGACCGAGTCATCGCTGAACTCGGGTTGACTCGGTGTACAAACAGCATGATAGGAGGGCCACTCTTCAGAGGAATATCAGGAGGGGAGAAGAAAAGGGTTAGCATTGGCCAAGAAATGCTGATCAATCCTAGCTTGCTCCTTCTTGATGAACCCACTTCAGGTCTTGATTCGACCACTGCTCATCGCATCGTGACCACAATCAAACGCCTGGCTTCTGGTGGAAGAACAGTCGTCACAACCATTCATCAGCCATCAAGCCGCATATACCATATGTTTGACAAAGTGGTTTTGCTGTCTGAAGGAAGTCCTATCTACTATGGCCCTGCTTCTTCTGCTGTGGAATATTTCAGCTCTGTTGGATTCTCCACTTCCTTGACAGTTAACCCAGCTGACCTTTTACTTGACCTTGCAAACGGTAAGCGACCTTTCTCTTTAAGCTTCTAGATGATGAAAAAAGATGAAAAAGAAAAGCCTTTTTGACACATCAAGATTTTGCAAACCGCAGGAATCCCACCTGATTCTCAAAAGGAGACTTCAGAACAAGAACAGAAGACAGTAAAAGAAACCCTTGTTGCAGCTTATGAGAAGAACATTTCTACTAAACTGAAAGCTGAAATCTGCAATGCGGATACCCATAGCTATGAGTACACAAAAGCTGCTGGTAAATTTTCGCTTTTTGAACTACTTCTTCTTTGATTCTGCTTCTGTTCCTCTACATAACTGATAATCTGACGTTATCTGTTATTTAAATGGATCAGCAAAAAACCTCAAGTCAGAACAATGGTGCACGACTTGGTGGTACCAGTTCACCGTATTGCTCCAAAGAGGTGTCAGAGAGAGGAGATTCGAATCTTTCAACAAGCTCAGGATTTTCCAAGTCATCAGCGTTGCTTTTCTTGGTGGCCTCCTATGGTGGCACACTCCAAAATCTCACATTCAAGATAGAGTAAGGCTCCTCTTCTTCGATTGATAAAAATCAGATAATGATTCATCTTGAACTGTAACTACTCTTCTTCCCATCACATTCTGTGAAATCTACAGATCACTGTTCTAACCATCATTCTACATTTATTCTGAATGCAGACTGCTTTGCTCTTCTTCTTCTCAGTCTTTTGGGGGTTTTACCCGCTATACAACGCGGTTTTCACATTTCCTCAAGAGAAAAGAATGCTAATCAAGGAGAGATCTTCCGGAATGTACCGTCTTTCCTCCTATTTCATGGCAAGAAACGTCGGAGACCTGCCCTTGGAACTCGCCCTTCCAACAGCTTTCGTGTTCATAATCTACTGGATGGGCGGGCTTAAACCCGACCCGACAACGTTCATCCTCTCACTACTGGTCGTCCTCTACTCCGTCCTCGTTGCTCAAGGTCTTGGCTTAGCTTTCGGGGCTCTGCTTATGAACATCAAGCAAGCCACAACGTTAGCATCTGTCACCACACTCGTGTTTCTCATAGCCGGAGGGTATTACGTGCAGCAGATCCCTCCCTTCATCGTATGGCTCAAGTACCTAAGCTACAGCTACTACTGCTATAAGCTGCTTTTGGGTATTCAATACACTGATGACGACTACTACGAGTGCTCAAAGGGAGTCTGGTGCAGAGTTGGAGATTTCCCAGCAATCAAATCAATGGGACTGAACAATCTATGGATAGACGTTTTCGTTATGGGAGTGATGCTTGTGGGTTATCGGCTCATAGCCTACATGGCACTGCATCGAGTGAAGTTGAGGTAAAAAAAAAAGTGGTAACAGCTAGTTTTAACCTCAAGAAGAAACTCCACTGCAAGCAAGGAATAATAATATTAGTATTAGAAAAGATTTAAAAAAGTCGTCGAATTTTGGTCGATTTTACTTACGTATCCGATATATATATATCCGACGACTTTCTTTTGTTTTAGGATAGATGATGATAAATACTCCTAAGTTGAGAATAAAACAGTGAGAGATAATGTAATGAGATAAGAAAGGGGAAGCCAAGTAAGTATATACGAATTCCCCATTTGCAGAATAGTGATAACGAAAGTGACTAAACTTTCGGTCCACTCTCTCTTCTCCCTTGTAAGATGAGTGTTTGTATCTTTGTGGGGTTCCTTAAAAAAAACATTTCGGTCCACTCTTTATACCTTACTATAGTCACCTGCAAGTGCATCAAGTGGTAAAAAAAATCAATGAGATGTATGTATCAGTATCAGAGATAAGAATTTAAAACAAGTTGCTCTGATTATTATTAGACTAACAACGACAGGACATAAGCAAACACACCTGACCATCTCTCTCTCTCTCTCTCTCTCTCTCTCACAAGTTCTCTATTTTTTCACAAAGATAAGAAAGAATGCAAATCATTACCACCCATTATATTACAAAAGTAAAGACTTTTAAACTGCATAATTATGGTAAAGGAATGAGCATTCGCTTTCACACAAATGTGACGAATCATTGCAACTTTAAATGGCTGTTATACTTCACATCGCTAGCTACAAAATAATTACACCAAAAGAAAGGAGTGGGGAGGCTACAGTGTGTGCAGAACAACATAGAGGAGTATAAAGAAAATAAAGATAAAATCTCGGAAAGATAAACAAATCATTGGATGAAAAGGCCCACAAGATATGCTTACACATTAAAACGTGATTCACTTTAGTCAAGTGGAAGCTGATGATGCAACAAGGAGGAGGAGAAGAAGAAAAATAAAAAAGAGAAATCCATGTCACTCCCTACTTTGTCAAGTGTCATTGTCATCACCAAGAAGAACCATCTTAATACCCCTTCAAGTGAAAAACAGAAACGTCACTCACTAACTCCTGCTGCTTTTCTCAGACCTAAAATACATCATCATCCTTGTAGTGGTTTTACATACGAAAGCAAGAGATCATATGATCTAATCATGTTCTTTCCCTTTTTTTATAAGAGAGAGTACACAAGTTGCTGTTTCTTTTAGTGTACTAAAATAAGACACAAATTGTCCATAAACATATATATATCTACCTTAACGAGATAACATAAACTAACCAGAGAGGATGAGCAAATGCCATTTCTGAAAAGTCATAAATATGAACCAACTTTGTGAAACGCTTTGTCACTCACCATTTGAATGAACAAGTTGTGACTCTAACGGTAATAATATATGCTCATTAGATAACCAAGAAAATGTTCAAACTGTATAAAACATCAAGATTAGTTGACAGAGATTTAAAAATTAGTTCCTCTTATAGTCATGTTCCTAAGAAAACCGGTGTACCTAATAGCTTGATGTTGGGCTCAAGGACTTGTCCACACAAGCTCACATCTCTACATTTCCATTAACAAGAACTTAACAAAGGCTAGAATATTATCTAAGTAATGATAAAAAAAGTCTTATACCATTCATAGAATTAGCATATATACCTTCAATGTCAACACATATCCATAAGGAACAAACCCAGTAAGTTAAAGTCTTAAAGAGCAGAAAATAACTATAGAGAACATCAAGAAAAAAAAACTATATTCTAACTTTCAACTTCAACTTCAAGATGCAATATCATAGAATCAACTTTCAGAATATTTTTCCGTAGACAGAGGAAAACAAAAAAATCTCTAGTAGCAACATAATCGATTTCATCTCAATTCTAATATACATATAATTTCTGATTACATCAGCACACCACAAATTTCAATTAATTAGGATTTCCACTCACCCGTATTGTTTCCGTTACGCAAATGTCAAGTTCAGTTGAAATTATAATCGTCTCGTGAAGACCGAAGTGAGCTCCCAGAGTCCAGGCGAGGAGAAGGTGACGCAACGGAAACGAAGAGTCTTTGCGGCGATGCTACGGCGGAGCATCCGCCATGTGACGACTGAGAGGGAGGAAAATCAACCGCGAAACGATACCGTTGTTGGTCAGCTAAGACTAAAAATAACTTAAATTGTATATTAACCCTTACATTTACCTTCCTTTCCATAAAACAGCCCTTAAATTCCTCCATTTGATTGAAGCCCAATTAGGCCCATATGTAAAACTTTAATAAAGGCCCATAACCTTTTATAGCTAGCTACCTTCTTCCTTCTTTAACTGATAAGCGTCTCTCTCCGAGTCTTTCCGACTTTCTCCGTTTTGTCTGTTCTAGGGTTTTAGCTTTTTCCTCTTTCCTTAATTTGATTCTCTCAGAGCGTGTGAAGAAGACAATGGCGGCAGTTGCTAGGGTTTTCGGTGGATGCAGGACACTGATGGCGAAAGCGGCGACTACTGCCGCGGAAAACGTCGGCGGAGCTGTTAAAGAAGGAAAAGGGATACTTAAGACTGTTCCTGTCTCGCAGACGCTGGCTAGCTTCGCCGGGGAAAGCGAACTCTCTCGTGCCACCGCCGTGAAGAAAGTGTGGGAGTACATCAAGGGTCAAAACCTCCAGGTTAGGGATTTCTAGGTCTTTAAAGATGGTTTTTGACTGGTTATGCACTGTAGAGATTGGTTTCTCTAGAATATGATAGTAAACAAATTGTTGCATGTAGAGCTTTTTACCTGGAATTCATAGAGTTTCTTGGGGAAATGGTTTGATTGTTGTGTTTGGTGAATGGTGATTATCTTGGGGAATTTGAAAAGAAGTCTTTTTTTGGGGTACATAGAACAATGTATTGGGTTTGAGTGGAATATATTGTGTGCTCACTGAAGATTGTTTGTGTGATTTGGTTTGTTCTGAGTGAAAATTTTGAAGATTTAGCTTTTTCAATTCATATTTGATGTTGAATTAAGAATCTAGTTAGGTGGATTTGGATTGGGAAATGTGCTTCCTCTGTTTTTTTGTTTTTCTTTGTTAGCAGCATTCTCATGTTTCAGAGACTATGATTTTTGAAGAAGATATATATATATATATATATATATGTTTTAATTTGTAGAATCCGGCGAATAGAAGGGAGATAATATGCGATGATAAGTTGAAGACGATCTTCCAAGGCAAAGACAAAGTTGGATTCACAGAGATCGCTAAGCTCTTGTCCCCACATTTTCCTAAGTCTGTCTGATTTCGTCACGTTGTGTTCTCAGTAGTATCTATCTAATCCAAGAATATGGTTTTTGCTTGCTTTTGGTTCTTCTTGGATGTACATGAAAACAAAAAAAAAATACTCTGTTTGATCGATCCATCGCTTAGGGAATATTATGTATTTTGACAAATCTGTCGTAATCTCGTTTGATTTTGGATCTTTTGATATTGTTGGTCTTTGATTGGCTTCCTTGGTCGATGATTCTCGCTCATACAGTTAAGTTACTTGATCGATGATGATGATGGATCGTGGAGGAAACTAACTCGGGAAAATGTATTTTTCTATATTATTGCAAAATGAATGGTCAACAACATTACATTATACAATTGATTAAGCCAACACGTGTCATTACCATCGGAAGAAGGAGAAAATGCGTTGTTAAAACGAGCATACATCAACGCGTCCATTTCGCTTTAAATCAATAGCCAAGAGCCCTTTTCGCTACATATACACATATCTGTATCTAAACATAACAGACTATATTAGTCAAAAAAAACACTTTACCAAATCTTATATTATCCTCATTCATATCATCTTCTTATCTCTCTAGTTCTTGATTTTCAAATTCAGGTAATTCAATTTCCCATCCTCAGTTTCTTGTAATCGTTTTCTTGAATTCCCTCTAATTTCATTTTGAATCTTTAGTAGTTAAAGAAATGGGTAAAGACAAGCATCACGAACAAGACAAAGGATTCTTCTCACATCATAATCATCACGGCCATGGGTATCCTCCGGGAGCTTATCCTCCGCCCCCAGGAGCTTATCCACCACCGCATGGTTACCCTCCCCAAGGTTATCCTCCGCCACCTCACGGCTATCCACCCGCCGCTTATCCACCACCTCCGGGCGCTTATCCTCCCGCCGGTTACCCTGGACCCTCCGGTCCTCACGGTTCAGGTTATACTCTAATTTAAAGTTTTGTGGCATGTCTCTTGATTAACCTTGATTTGGTATTGAAATGAAAGAGTAGTTAGACAAAAGAAAACCAATATGAATATATGTTAATGAAAGGATACCGATTTTCTTAACTAAAGATTTATTGATCGTCTGAGTTACACCAAAAGTTTGGCAATATATAGGTTAAATGTTCTAGTAATTAGAGTATGCAATTGGTTTTAATTATTTTTTATAGATTAAAAAAACACAATGAGCTAAGTGTAAAGGGTGATTTAATTAGTCTAAGTTTTGTTCTTAATGATTGATATGGTAAGTACAGATATTTATAATTTAAATCTATTATTGATACATTTTTGTGTTTACATTCAAATTCAAATAGAATGCATATGGGTTTGGTTTGGTTTGGTTTGGTTTAGAGATACGTAACTGAATGATTTTAGTGAATCATTTGCGCATCTTGTGAATAGGACTAGGAGGAGGAGTCGGGGGATTGATAGCAGGAGCGGCAACAGCTGCGGCCGCTGCAATGGGAGGTCGCCACGCGGGTCATCACGGTGGTTACGGCCACCATCACGGTGGTAAGTATAAAAGAGGGTTCTTCGGTGGAGGAAAGTACAAGCGAGGGAAGCACAGTATGTTTGGAGGGAAGCACAAGCGTGGCAAGCACAGCATGTTTGGAGGCAAACGAGGCAAGCATGGCATGTTCGGACGAAGGAAGTGGAAATGATCAGTTTGATCATCATTCGATTCAGTCTCTATAATCTCTCTCTATATATATTATCGTACGTATGTAACAACTTCTAAGCATAATCTGTGAGTGTATTGTTTCTGTTTACATGTATCTCTATATATCTACATGAAAGAGTGTGGTTTTTTAATTTGGTTGAATTTTGTCTAGTAAATTAACGTTCAAAGTTGAGTTGTTGAAGAACATGCATGCCTTTTATGGAAAAGCAAATTAACTATATTTTGGCTTTTCTGTTCTCTAATGAATCAGTTTTACGTGGGCTTGTTTTCTTTTCCCCTTTCACGAATGGGGATTAGTATAGAGAATATGGATATGGACGTGAAGAAGTGATTATCCAAAAACAAAATTCATATCAGGTAATGAACAAGAAAAATACTCGATATGATAACACTCATATTCGAAACATAATTAGATTTGTTACTAAGCTAGAGAGACGGGAAAATTGGAGTTGTTTATACAAGACTATCAAAAAAATAAAACACTTATCGAAGACTGTCAAAAGATAAAATATTTATCGAAAGTAAAGTAAAATCAAACTGTCCCGGCAAAGGAGACTTTTTTATTTAACAATTTTTTTTTAAAAAAGTAAAATAAAACTAAACATATTGTATACAAATATCTAATTATAATTAGATTTGTATAAAAATATTATATGATATCTCTAACACATGATTATTCAGAGGAATTATCATTTTTTGCATTACGTTTGTAAAAGTTCAAGAAAAGTAAGAAGATGTATTTCAAATTAAGATATTTTATTAGGCAATAAATGATACAGTGAAATTGTACTCAATCAAATCCTTGTATTATTATCCAAAAGAATCCAATGTTCAAAGTAAACAAAGACTTCGACACATACCTCAAGAATCCAAATAGAAGAGAAATGGTTCGTGAGCGATTACAGAGAGAAATATGAAGAAAGGAACGAAGGTTTACAACAAATTTCTGATAATACTTTTCTCCCTCCTCCCCGATACTTAAGCATCTTGATCTTCTCTTGTTTAATCTGGGCCGTTGAACACTTTACATCTGAGCCGTTCACGTCATCACTTCTTAATACCCGAATCTCTTTTATATAAAATGGATAGATTTATAAGCTTCTAAGAGCATGCCCATCGGTAGATACTCTCTTCAACGTATCTAATTTATAAAAAAAATATTATAATTTATTTATATAATTAAAATTTAAATCATTAAAAGAAGAAAAGGAAATGAACAAATTAGAAACTGCCATATGTATTGTCATATGTGTAGATACGTCCTTTAAATTGCCCAAACAAGAGACGGTTTTCTTTTTTTCTTGTTTCTCTTTCCTCTTTTATAATATTTTATTTCTTAGAGACTCATTAAAATTCACCGATGGAGATGGTCTAAGGGCTGCCACATCAGCAAAAATAATTAACTAATGACAGATTTCAAAACTGTCATGTTATCTTCTTCAACTAATAATTAAAACTATTTTATTAAATAATTTATTAATCAAAATTTCTTCAAGTTTTACCTAAAAAAAACTTTTATAATTGTAACTTTTTGACTTATAACAGATTAGTTTCTAAAACTGATATAGAATTCCATATTGTTCGTTGTAATCTGATATTGTGGAAAAACTGACGTAAAATTCTAACTAAAGAACCGGTGATTAAAGACAGTTACTGACCATTTCTTAATTTTCATTTGCAAAAGTTCATGAAACATAAAAACTGAAAAGATTTTTTTAAAATAACATATAATTATAAATTCCATATTTTTCACCAACATTGGCAAATGATTGGGCTAGCTAAACTATCAAACAAATAATTATATCAATTAATAAAGAACTCATATAAAAGAAGTTTATTATTAATTATCATTTGTTTTCTTCGTTGAAAATATGAATTAATTATAAAATATTTATGTACACACTGAATCTTAAAAAAATTGATAAGTAGAGAAATGCATACTATAAGAAGATTAAAAACAAAATCTTAAGGTACAATATGAAACAAAAATGGAGTAAGGATTGGGTTCTTTTTTTTTTTAAGCATCAAGCGAAAGGGAAGCTTATGCAAAATTTTTTTTGAAAGTATAAAAAAATATTCATGGTGTTCACTAAAGAAATGGCATTATAACATAAGATGTCCAAATTTAGACAATAGATTTCTGATATAATATATAGTTCATGTGGATACTATTTACATTAAAAAATATAACAAAAATACACATCAAATTATTATATAAAAATGGTCAAACTTTATCTTTCATATTTGCAAAAACATGCAATAACTCTTAAAAAAAGTTTAACTAAGCCAAAAGATACATTGATCTACCTTCAAATTATTATACAAAAATTTCAATCATCTTATATATATATATATATATATATACATCTTTCTGATATTTATTTCACTCAATTATATCTAAGAATCACATGCAAATATACTATTCTATAGTTTATCACAATATGAAACACAAAATTAATTGACAACTTTTTATAAAACTACAATATAATTGTACAACCCACGCGAAGCATGGGCAAAACACTAGTACTATAACAATAAAACATAAACAGTTTGGATAATTAGCAGCCACAAAAAATTGGTTTTTACTTGATTCCTAATTTGTACTCAGTTTGCTATTACTGTGTAAACAGATATGTTCCCGTAAAGGGGTTAACATCTTTGTATTAGCGTCGTGACACTAGCTAGGAAAATATATTTTCGCCAGAACATCAAGTCTCCCATTTTGGTGTACATTTCCGAGCCTTCTCAACTTAAAAGTTTGGCATTTCTCTATCGTGGTTGAAGATGATGCACAGAAAGGACTTTTTGTGCTATTTTACAAACCCTCTTCAAAAAAAGAACATCTGTTATCACGTAAATTTTAATTTTTTTTATATATTTTATGCTTCATTTTTTGTTATTTTTAATGCTATTGTTTTCAATTTTTCAGACAAAAGACTTTCTGTTATACATCGGTTTGATCTGGATGTAGAAAACTTCGGGGAAATGTGTTTAGAAGCTCTTGCATAGACAGCGCTTGATGCATATCCATAATCCAGTACTTTCGAGGTGACTATTTTCGTTTACAGTATTTCTAAGCTGAATTTTACCAACTTTCAGGTTCATAAGAGAGTCTCTGGGTTGGATCTGTCCTCAGAACATAATTCATGTCTCATTGGTATCAGAGTCTTGCGTTTCTCAAGGACTCAAAATCATAGGTATGAGGCAGATTTCTAAAATCTGAGTTACCAAACTTTTTGACGGATCAGATATTATAGAAACTAGGTATATACTCGCATTACGCTGCAGATTATTTCTTAATTAATTTAATGCTATACTTTGATAAAATAAAATATATGAAAATAAATATTATATGCATATATTAAGAAATATATAAATAAATCTATATAAAAAATTCTATTTTAGTTATATTTTGTGTCATAATCACTATTTATCTATTTTTTATGAGAGGTGTATATAAGACAACATATACGGTGGAACATGCTTATGTGTAACTTTTCAACTTTAGCAATTAGTGTAAAATTTATTTAAATATCTCTGATTCAAAATTAGTTACACACTTATTACGTATAGTTAGAGAAGTTTATGTGCTCTCAACTAAATAAACTCATAAATCCGCTTCTAAGTTTAATTATTATGAAGCTGGTTTTCCAAGTTATTAGTATTTAGTGACCACAAAGCGCAAGACTGCACCTAACCGAATCTCCTCTCACCAAGAACATAATTTACGTTATTATCTTTATTGTCTTAAACTGGCATCCCTCTAAATTTATACAAAAATTCACTCAAATGACACCCTACTTAATTTCATCATAATTTTATATTTTCTAACTTAAAAAAATGATTACTCACCCATCTAGTTATTTTTCTCTAAAACATGTTCAAAGTATCTTATGATCTACCACTTCTTGATTAGAGACTTTGTGAACATATAGGCATAGGAATATTATTTAGAATAGTGTTTCAAACTTTAAAGTTTTGAAGCTTAATAGTAAAACCATTTTAACGTTAATTTATGCCACATCATTTAAATTTTTTGTGTAAATGTGATTTTTCTTGAAAAAATATTTGTATTAGATGTTTGTTGTGGTTAAAGGGACATAAATATTTGTAATGATGAGTTGAGATCGAATTAAAACACTATTAGACACTTGGATGATGTAAAACTATATTGAAATTGTAAATATAAAATGTCAAGATTGAAATTAACTCTCATATATATTCATTTTGAACGAAAAATACCTTAAACGTAAAATTATACAATAAAATTACTCTCTAATACAAAAATATTTTATAAAAATACTTTTCAAAACTAATTTTTTTTTTTATGTTAATCTATCTTATAACAAACAGAAATAACCATTTTTCACTTAAGACATTTTCATAAATGTTTGGCATATTTTTATAGTTCTTACATTTAAATGTTAGCAGCTTAGGGTTTATCCTTATTGTGTCTAATTTGTGAGCTGATATGTTATTTGAATCGTATAATATAAAATATTGATCTTACACATACTAAACTTATATCATTGGAGACTGTCGATAATTATAGTATAATTTTAAAATATTGAATCTGAAAAAATAAAGATGCCATCTATAAAACACTAAAACTTCGCTTTTTCAGTAACTTGATATCTCTTTCTTTTGAACAAAAAAAATACCTCTTTCTTCAATCAAAACCATTTCTCCATCATTATTATACGAAATAATGATCATTTTCTAACATCCGAAGTGAAAGAGTCAAATGGAGATTCTGAAACTATGAGTAACATCAATTTGTCAAGTGACACAATTGGAGGAAGATATCTAGTGAGATTATGCATCTCGTCATATCTTGTGACGACTATGCATCTTTTAGTCTCTTGAGACTCTGTTAATTGGGTAAGTATATTTTTCATTAGAGTTTTTTACTGCATTATTAACTTAAAATGTTTCAATGATTCTTATGTTATTTATTTTACGTTATTTTTTACAGTAATCAACCTAGCGAACTAAATCCAATAGAAACCTCAACTAAGGCACTATAAATTGGTTCAACTTCCACTTGAAAAACACATGTGTGTGTTTGCCTTACAAAGGCTTATGAATAATAACCAGTTGATACTTAAAAAAAATTGATAACAATAATTAATTTTTTTATGTGTTTTTGGGTTTATTACTCTTCCAATAAAATTTTAAATTGGGTTTGGAGAGAAACCAAAGTCTAAAAATAATATAAACTTAACACTTCAAAAGATCCACGACGGAGACTACACAAGAAGCCTCACAGGAGCCCAATCCAAAACTTGGTTTCATTAAAAAAGAGCCACACTTATTTTATTTTTTTTATCATTTATGTAGATTTATTTTTCAGTTGAGTTCGATTTAGATTTTTAACGAATTTTCTACGGTGATCAATGCTTTGATGATTTAACGGAGATTACTACTCTAGATTGATGAAAGAAAGATTCAAAAGCACAAATACAAAGCTTTTAATTAAAAATACTTTGATGGCTATTACATTATAAACCATCCCTTTTTCTACTCATACAACAAACAAAAGTTATATATACGATTTGGATATCCTGAAAGATAGAGAGATGCAATTAGTGGTGGTGTGTTCGTGCTACATTTAGAGTTTTTTGAGAAAATTACAAACCGAGCCAAGAACATTGCTTCTTCGTGTGCTTAGGTACTAACTTAGCTATCATCTTCACTAGCACACCTTTTAGCTCTGTATCCACAAAATTTTAATTTTTTTATTTGCTATTGTTTATTATTTAGGTTTGGATTTAACAAAAAATAAAATAAAAGTTTTTTTTATTTGCTGTTATTTATTATTTAGGTTTGAGTTTGGTAAAAAGTAAAATAAAGATATATTTTTTTATTTGATGTTACTTATGATTTGGACTTGAATTTGGCAAAAAGTAAAACAAAGATTAACAGAAATAATATTTGGATTTTTAATGGATTTAATTAAAAAAAATAGTAGATGATGTATATTAATTAAAATATTTTGATTGGTTGTTAATTTTGCTAATGTGTCAGTTTTTGGTAACTTGAAAAGGCTGAGTTGTCAAGGTATGAAGAGACTTTAGAGTTATTGTTGTGTTGATTAAAATTGATGCAATCAAAACGTTTCTCCTGTAATTAAATTCAAAGGAAAGTTGAACATTAATAGTTTCTTAATTTATATCCTTATTGATTTATAAGTTTTGGATAAAATAAATCTTCTAAAAATTAGAAATAAATTCTAAAATATTTCAGTTTTGATAACAAACAAACAACTACTATACTCATACTCTATTAGATTGTCATAGTTATATCTTTGTAAATAGATATTTTTATTATTTTATAACAGTTACTGATTTTGATATTAATGAACTATATATTTATATTGTTTTTTAAATATATTTTATTATTTAATTGATATATGTTATGATCGATCCAATTTGGGATATTTTTTTAAAAAATGTTTTAAGCTGACAAGATAAATAACACTAAAGGTGAATAAAAATACTGTGTGATTAAATAACAGATATATTCCGTTGGAGTTGAGATAATGACCAGAAAATTAAAGGAAATCGTTTATAAGAAATCTATTTTAATTTAATATCTTTTGTTAAGAAACATAAACAATTTGGATAAATTAGTCGGCGACAAAAAAAAAAACAGTTCGGATAATTATATTAATATTTTTGTTTATTGTCTGCATAAATCCACTATTATCCAAACAAAAATTAAACTGAGATCGGATAACGAGTTTTTAATCTAAAAAGTAAAAACTCAAAAGAACATTGATTAAGATTCTTTTGTTTGCATAAAATCCATCCATTATTATCCAAATGAAAATTCAAATGGATAAGGATTTTTGTTTTGATAAAAAATCGGGATACTCTTAGCTGACAAATACAAAATTTAAATTTCCACTTAAACAAAAAGAGGTCATAAAATCCATTAATATCTAAATTATCTTCACGTAAAGATTTTTTATTATTTTAGTCCAAAAAAAAAAAGATTTTCTGTCACTTCTATATAAAGCATTGTTTACTTCATCGTCTTTCACTAAAAAAAAAATCTAAAGTTTCTTAGCAACGATGGTTTCTCTTAAATTTCTCGTGTGTTGTCTTTTACTTGGTAGTTGTGCATATGCTACACTCGTCTCTCACGATGGCCGAGCCATCACCATTGATGGTCATCGCCGAGTTCTTCTCTCTGGTTCCATCCATTACCCTAGAAGCACCCCTGAGGTAATTAAACATAACCTACGACAATCAAATCTACACACTATACGAAGGATCTTAATCTATTATGTCTAGTAATTTAATTAATTAATATTCGTTTTATTTGTTTGTTAATATCTATGCTAGATGTGGCCGGATCTTATCAGGAAGGGCAAAGAAGGAGGTCTTGATGCGATCGAGACTTACGTGTTCTGGAACGCACACGAGCCTACTCGTCGCCAATACGATTTCTCTGGAAATCTAGATCTTATTCGTTTCTTGAAAACTATTCAAGAAGAAGGGTTGTATGGAGTTCTACGCATTGGACCATATGTTTGCGCAGAGTGGAACTACGGGTAAAATGCACTAAACTGTTTTGATCCTACTAATTAATATATCAAAACATATCGTTAATAGCATATTATATAAATTTAATAAATCGCTACCTTACCTCTTAGGCTCTTACATTATGCGTCTCACTGTAATGTTTTTGATCGTTAAATTGTTTAATCATTTTGAACAGAGGATTCCCTGTGTGGTTGCACAACATGCCTGGAATGGAATTCAGAACTACTAACACCGCATTTATGGTAATCTAATCTCGTTAAATTGCTTAATCATTTGTTTATCGATTATGAAGTACTTTTGTTTAATATATAATCTATGGATGAACTATATACAGAATGAGATGCAAAACTTCACAACTATGATAGTAGACATGGTCAAGAAAGAAAAGTTATTTGCATCACAAGGGGGTCCAATTATCCTTGCTCAGGTAATCGATCTAATCTCTAAAACATACGTTAGCTATCTGGTAATCTAATATATATACAACGCTCTTAACAATTTTGATTTTGATTTTATTACTTTTCCAGATTGAAAATGAGTATGGAAACGTGATTGGATCGTATGGTGAAGCGGGCAAGGCATACATTAAGTGGTGTGCAAACATGGCTCAGTCTCTTGATGTTGGTGTTCCTTGGATCATGTGTCAACAAGATGATGCTCCTCAACCTATGGTAAATAAATTAGTTTGATTTTAATGATTATATTATTTATGCAAAGAGTACTAACTGTTTTTACATTGTTTGATCTTATAGTTGAACACATGCAATGGTTATTATTGTGACAACTTTGAACCAAATAACCCCAACACTCCTAAGATGTGGACTGAGAATTGGACCGGATGGTTAGTTTAATTCTTATTATTACAAATATACATATTTTCTATTATAGTTTTCTATATTCAGTTGAGATATTATACTTTTTTTGTGTAGGTATAAAAACTGGGGAGGCAAAGATCCTCACAGAACTACCGAAGATGTTGCCTTTGCTGTTGCAAGATTCTTCCAAAGAGGAGGAACTTTTCAGAATTACTACATGGTAAAAGTTTAAATAATTTGACTAAGAAATCACACATATCTGTTGTCATTAACAATAGCAATGCGATGAATGTTTAATTTATTTTTGTAGTACCATGGAGGCACCAACTTTGATAGAACTTCAGGTGGTCCATACATCACAACTTCATATGATTACGATGCTCCTCTTGACGAATTCGGTAAATATAATTCATATTTTACATTTGAAATAATTTTAGGGGCATTCTAAGCAAATTTTATTAATAATATGTTTTTTTATGTATCAGGTAATTTAAACCAACCAAAATATGGACATTTGAAACAACTTCATGATGTTCTTCATTCGATGGAAAAAATTCTCACTCATGGAAACATCTCCACCATTGATTTTGGAAACCTAGTCACGGTAATATTTTCATTACTTTATTTTAACTAATCAAATATTTAATATGTTGTTCTTGGAGTTACTTATAGTTATATATTGTATAGGCAACGGTTTACAAAACAGAAGAAGGATCAAGTTGCTTCATTGGAAACGTAAATGAAACTTCAGACGCAATTGTCAATTTTCAAGGAACATCTTACAATGTCCCGACTTGGTCTGTTAGCATTTTACCGGATTGCAAAACCGAGACTTACAATACCGCCAAGGTCTGTTTCTTTTACCTTATATTATCATTAACTATTATCATTTGAATTTTAAATCTTTATGCATTTTCTTCAACGGCTTTTGAATTTTGTAGAATTCTGATATTACATAAGAATTATTATGCATTTGCATTGGTGGTATGATCAATCTTGCATACGATTTTACATTTTTTTAAAAAAAATATAACATGAAAAGTAATAATTTTTAATTCTTTATACGTTTGCCCTTGTAGATTTCTGATTTTTCATATTAATGATCGTTAATTACATTCAAAGTATTGATTTTTATGGATTTTTAAAATTTCAGATTAACACTCAGACTTCGGTGATGGTTAAGAAACCGAATCAAGCTGAGAACGAGCCTTCAACTCTAAAATGGTCATGGAGACCAGAGAACATGGACAATGTCCTTTTGAAAGGAAAAGGAGAATCTAAAATGGGACAACTGTTTGATCAGAAAGTAGTTAGCAACGATCAAAGCGATTATCTTTGGTACATGACTACAGTTAATCTCAAAGAGCATGATCCAGTTTGGTGCAAAAACATGTCTCTCCGTATTAACAGTACTGCTCACGTTCTTCACGCTTTTGTCAATGGAGAACACATTGGTAAGTCAAAATAATCTATAATGTGTTCTCAATAACATTAGCTCTCGATAATAAAAGTAGATAACCAATTCCTTTTTTCTATTTTAGGTAATTACCGCTCTGAAAATGGAAAGTTTCATTATGTTTTCGAGCAAGACGCGAAATTTAACCCCGGTGCTAATGTCATATCTCTTCTTAGCATAACCGTTGGCCTTCCGGTAAGTTTTTAAATATTAAAGTTGAAACCATTACTTTTAGTAGGTCTAATTTTTAACCAAATGTTGTCGTTTCCTTTCTAGAACTATGGGGCCTTCTTCGAAAACGTACCGGTTGGAATTACCGGACCGGTTTTCATTATCGGAAGAAATGGTGATGAAACCATAGTAAAGGACTTATCTGCTCATAGATGGAACTATAAAACTGGTCTAAGCGGGTTTGAGAACCAACTCTTCAGTGCAGAATCACCTGCTACATGGTCAGGTGAAAGTGTACCATTCAACCGAACCATGACTTGGTACAAGGTAAGTAGATATTAACATTAAATAACAACTCAAACAATTATAGATTTTAGCTTTAAATAGTATCGTTACAATGTTTATTTTTGCAGTCTACTTTCAAGGCTCCATTGGGAACTGATCCAGTTGTTGTGGATCTCTTGGGACTTGGAAAAGGTACAGCTTGGATCAATGGAAACAACATTGGACGTTATTGGCCAGCTTTTCTTTCAAGCGATGATGGTTGTTCCGCCGAATGTAACTATAGAGGAGCTTACTATGCTGAAAAGTGTCAGACTAATTGTGGAGAACCTACGCAAAGATGGTTCGTTTTCTTAAGTTGTTAACTTCTAAAATCAAATCTTTTGCATTGGGTTTGGTTTCATATCGAAAACTTGGCTTTGTTGTTAGGTACCATGTACCTCGTTCTTTCTTAAACCCGGATGGAGACAACACTTTGGTTTTGTTTGAAGAAACTGGAGGAAACCCATCACTTGTCAATTTTCAGACTACTAGAGTGGGAACTGTCTGTGCAAATGTGTATGAGAAGAACGTTCTTGAGCTTTCATGCGATGGAAAACCTATTTCGGCCATTAAGTTTGCCTCATTTGGCAATCCAGAAGGGAATTGTGGATCTTTTGAAAAGGGAACTTGTGAAGCAAGCAACGATGCGGCCACTATTCTTACCAACGAATGTGTTGGAAAAGAAAAGTGTTCCATTGATGTAACCACCGAAAAGTTTGGAGCACCGGAGTGCGCTGAATCTGTTAGAAGACTTGCTGTTGAAGCTGTTTGTTAGGTTTTCTTTTTAAAAAAGATTTTAGGTTTTTTTTTCTTATGTTTTTGGTGTTTCTTCTTTTTTATCTTTTTCTAGATTAGATTAGATAGGTTAGTCTTGTTATTTTCCAAGGATTTAGGGGCTTTCGATCTTAGGAACTTTTCTCCATTATTAGTTTTCAATAAAACAACATTTGGTTATTCGATGACTTTACGGATCTAATTATGTAACGCAAAGTTCCTCTCATTACCATCTATCAATCCAGATACTGCTTTGTTATCACTTTCAAAGATAACATGTCCATATTCTCTTATCAAAGCGTGTTTCATGGACCTTAATAGACTATTTATAACCCTGCTTCTAAATAGGATCCATCAGAATCTCGAAAAACCTAAGCTCTGTTGTTACATCTGCGGAAGTGGAGAAGAAGTTATATACTTATACAAAACAAGAACAAGATCCCAAAGGTTATAAAGAAGAAGCTTGTTGGGATCGTTAACGATCTTCACCAGTTGCTCTACTCTGTGTTTCATGATTTGAAGACTGGTCGAATGAAAAGGACAACGGTGGTCTAGTTCGGATTTGGATTACTATTCTTCAGAGGAAATAGAGATCAGCGCGAGTAGTGTTAACGAGATCACATCAGAGCTCGAATTATTCTGTGATGCTCAAAAATATACAAGAGACAGAGTTGACAAATGAAGATTTGAAAATCCACATTTGCTTAGTTTTGTTTCAATTTACTTTAAAAAAGAAAATGAGAAGGAAAGAAAATGTCATACTTAATCTGAAACGAAGAGTATATACTTTGAAAAGAAAATTAAGTACCTATAAGAAACAAAAGATGATACAAATGTTCTATAGACACAACAAGAGAAGCTCAAAATCAACGGCCTTACGTTAACCATTCACTGATGACGACTCCAAAAACTAAGAGAAACCAAAAATTCAAAAAAAAAATTCTCGAAACGTGACTTACCTCTCTCTCCTTGTGTTTTGTAAACTGAAAGTTTCTATTGAGATAGGTACAACAAAAAGCTGTTCTTGAATCAGAAACATACTATAATCCCCAAACTCCACACATTACCAAATATGGGATGGTGGCGATGTTGATGATGATGATGAGAGTCAACGAATGGTTTCGTTGGAGAATGGTTCTTCTAGCCGAGGAGATCTTTGAACAGTGTAGGGTTCTGACTTGTTGGGTTCACGCCCATTTGTCTAACAAGAGCGTCTTTCTCAAGAGCTTCCTTTGAGTTTGGTCCTTTCGAGGTTTGAGATTGATACGTGCGTGCGTTTCCTTTGGAGCTATCAGATAGTTCCGATAAGAGAGAGTCAACACTTGTGGTCGTCGTCACAGGTGCTGCATCTGAGTATAGTCCCATCACATCGGTCGAACCACCTCCGTCGTGGCTCGAAGAATCTAGAAGCCCTTCTAACTCTTTAAAAGGATCCGTCGCTGTAACGGTTGTATCAGTTGGCTCGCCAAAGTCGAGCAAGTCTGGTTGCGGCTGAACAGGGATCGGAGTTTCCTTGGGGATGCTTGCGGCTTTGTTAGCTGTTCCTTTTGCAGGCTTGTGACCACCAGAAGATGACTTTCTGTCAGTTCTTGATGATGATGATCCACCAAACAAGGATGCAGCGAGTCTCTGTTTCTCGGGGTCGATCTCGGGTTTCTTTGATTCGTAACTGGTTCGAGGCTTTGAGCTAGATGAGCCAGCTCCTCCATCCGAGTGTGTCGTGGTACCGTTTGTTGATTGCTGAGGAGTAGAAGAAGCTGATGTGGTCGATTGATAGCTCGGTCTACCCCATTTTTGCTTAACTCCATCGAGTCGCAGCTTGATTTCTGATGACTCTCGTTCAGAGACTAAAGATGTTGGAATTGGCTGGTGTGGGTCGCTGTAATAAGAAGGCTCGGGTACTGGAACAAGCTCGGTTGAAGCCTGTGTTGGCATTGATGGCTTTGGAAGTTCATAGGCTTCAAACCGGAGAGCATGAGCTGGAACTTCGTGATGATCTTGGGAATGGTAATCGGTTGTTTCAAACATTCCCGAGCGTTCTCTCTCAGAGATATAAGGTTGTGCTCCACTCTCGATAGCTTGTTGGATATAGCCATTGAGAAATGAAAGATCCTTATCAACCTAGATTCAGAAAAAAGGACCATAAGATTCAAGAAATCCACGTTAGAAGGGAACGCATGAAGAGAAAAGGTTACCTCGATGTCTTCGCAACTAGCATCTAAAGGTATTATACTCTCGACAGCACGGGCATCTAGAGCAATAAGAGCCTGAAGCTCATATGCACGTTGCTGAAGATCTGTTGAATGTGAAGCCAGTAGCTCTTCAATCAAAGATTGGCACTGCATTAAGAAACTAGTCAGTCTGTGACAAAGCAGGCTATAGATTGGGTCTTTTTTTACTCAGAAGCGTCTAAAGATACAGACCTCGGGCAACACATCCACCTTTCTCCCAGATGCAATTTCAAATGCATAGATCTTCATCAGTGCAGAAACAGCATAACCCTTCAGAGAACAGAAAACCATTACCATCTTCCAAGCAGTAAATATACAGATAGCAACTAAAAATGTTTTGAGGTAAGCAGTAACACCATCACCCTCATGTACGTGTACGTGTACTAGTAAATAATCCTGATCAGACATCTACGGGATAAGAAAATGTTGTTTAACATTTTAGAAAGACGAGTTAGCATGCAATGGGTTAGTCATTCTTGCGTGGTATCCAGTCTCCACCATGTTTTCGAAATGAAAGTAAAAAGAGTGGAGATTTAAAAGAGAAGTCGAGTGTTACACGAAGCGACAGCATAAACAGAATCATTTGGCTAGAACACGTGGAATGCAAAGGTTTTCTCGGGCATAATATTCAAATGCTGAGAAAATACCTTAACATTTTCATCACTTGAATATGCATCTGCCACATCACACAGCTTTCCACTGATATAGGACGCAGAATACTTCCCGTCAGCTGTGCCGTATTCTCCAAGCACCCAAGAAATGACCTGGAGATTAAAATCCAAAAGTATGAAGCATTGATTCGATGTGAAAAACACATGCTACGTGGAGAGGTCGGAAAAACAAAATTAACCTGAAGAAACAGGGAGGGAAGCTTTGGCTCGCTGATAATCTGCAAGTATGATTCCACCTGTATCAAGAAAAGTACAATCATAAGCACAGCACAATACAAAAACACAGCATATAAACCAACAAAACAAAACCATGAAGCAAGAACTATTATCGGAGTTACTCAATCCTAGTTTATGATTGCCATTTCAGATATCAACTCATTTCTCTGTTGAAAAAGAGTCCACACATCACCATAACTATATCTAGCAATCTCTTTGCACATAAAAGAAAGCAGAAGGAACACAAATGGAACGAAAAACATACAGCTGATAGTCTAAGTTTGCTGTCTGCATCGTCATCGTCCTCTCCAAATCCTTCAGCAATCAAACGCATCAAATTATGTGCCACCTTAATATTTACCAGATCTCCTGCATGCTCGAAGACTTTATTCATGATCTACAGTATGTGCAATTTTAAATTTCTGTCAGCCGAAACAAAAATTATATAAGTACACAGTGTACACACGGGAGGTTGCTGGGTTGCTACCTGGATGAACCATTGATTGCTTGGAGCGAATTGTTCCGCCAACTCAACACAACGAGATGCTATCTCAGTTTTGTAATGATTGTCATTGATACTAATCATGTAATCAATCATTCGGTCGACAATCACTTCTACATTAGAGGACTTGGTCATTTTGTACAGCAATTCAAAAGTTTTCCTCTTTAGTGTATCATCTGGATCCTGTCGGAAAGTAGCAACGAGAGAAACATCAGGCCAAAGTGCTCACATGTAAACAACCAATAAAAAAAAGTTTCCTTTATGGTTGCTCACCTCCAAACAATCTATCACGGCAAGTTGGTGCTGCTCAGCAATGTCTGGGCTTATTTTTATCAACCGACCAAGACCATCAATCCCCATGTACTTCAGATTGTGACTATCACTCTGCAAATAGTTAGCCAGGGATTTAGATACAATCATAAGACTGACAAGAGTATCTCCAAACATGTTAGGATTTGGATATAGCATACCTTCAAAAACTTGGAGATAGCCTCCGCAGCAGCTTCTAGCAGTTTGGGATTTGGAAGAATACAAGAAATACAGCGAATACACTCATAAAGGATCGCATTTCCTATATTGGTAGATGAATCGCACTTTCTGAACAAATCTCCAAGCACCATGTACATGATTTCACTCGCGCTCTTATCACCACTGCCCAGCAGCGCCATTATCTTCAGCAACTTGATCTAAAACCAAAAATGGTGACAAAAGTGACAAACTTGATCACCAATTGTAAAACTTAAGCGAAGACGCATACGACGACGAACCTGTATAAAGGGTGCAGGCATTTGATGGTAATCGTAACTCTTTGGCAATCTCCTCTCAGTGACCTGTTTGAGAATGCTGACGAAACTGCTCACCAAATCCTTATAGGAAGTAACATCTTCACTTATGAGATCAAATAGAGGGCAAAGCGTAGCACCCATAACTCCAGGATCGTTATCGCATAGCCTCTTTCTGAAATTGGAGATCAAATGTGAAACCGAAGAAGGAGACTTCCGGTGAAATCTATGCAGAGCCATGATCGCTTTCTTCCTCACAGCTTCCTTCTGGTGATTAAGCAAGTCCACCACCTGAGGCAAAACCGCCGGAATCGTCTCCTCGTTGATAAGCCTACAGATTGCATTAAGTGCCGCACAAACAACGAGATAGTTATCGGATCTGAGATCTTTCTGGATCGTGTTGACGATAAGGATAATGAGGTCGTGGTCCTCGTTGAGAAAGAGCGTGACGGCGAGGTAACCGGTACGCTTGAGGAGGAGATTATCGTCGTGCGTCATCTTCACGGCGTGAATGTAACCGAAAGAAGCGTCGTGGCCTAGCATCTCAATGTAAACGAGCCGTATAATGTACTCTTTCATCTTCCTCTTGGGCACATCTGGCTCCAACAGCCTCCGTTTCAGTATATCGATCTCGCTTAGCACGATCCGATCTTCCTCAGCCTTGGATCGTGCCTCGCCGATTGATTTGACCAGATCGAGAAACTCCTTCGACTGACCAAACCCACCTTGCGATCCCATCGCTAGCTCTCTCCCAATCGTTTTCAGCTGCTCCATCCTCTCTCGCTCGAATCAACTCCGTAGCACCAAAATTTTCGACCAGTGAATTGCTTCTCTGGCAGATTAACGACGAAATGGGATTGGAATTGGAATTGGATTACGATTAGGGTTCTTCCGATCAGAAATCGGAAAAAGGACCATGCGAAAATTCCTCGTCTTTATGCTTGTTCCCGTGAGCGTTCGGCGATAAGTACGATCCAATGGAGCTCAGATCTAGAAGATGAAAAACGTGAAGAGATTTTAGTAACCAGAGAGAGTCTCTTGTCTTTGCTTTAGCCTTTTAGCTCAATTTAGCCACCAGGTGGTCCTCGATAGCTAAACCAACACGCGTGTGTGTCAAATGTTGCAACACTAAAAAAAATTATTAGAGGTGTTTAACCGGGGATTTCGGTTCAATTCTGGAGCTGTTAAACCCGGGTTTCGGTTTCTTATTGGTTTTAAGTTTTATACTAGTATTTCGGTTTAGTAGTAAAAGCGTAATAAAATACAAAACCGAATATCTGTCTACCAGCCACATTGGGTGTCAAGTATGATTAGGATTCGTTTGTCCACTATAAATGACGATGAAAATACGTTCGAAAAATAGATTTCATTTCATTCAGTTCTAATCAAGTTCTAGCTCTATTTTTCTCCTCAACTCAATTCGACTTTTTATTTTTGATATTTTCTTTGGCAGTCGTTTATTTCAGTGCCGGTCCAACCTAAATGATGGTCCTAAACTAAAAAAAAATATGACTCATTTATAATAAAATATTTGTAATTTTCCTTTTTTTAACATGTAAACTTCAAAATTTAGTATATAAATCCTATATATATCTCGCTTAGGCTCTGGACCGAGTCTGTTTATAGTAAAAAACATTATTTTCTCAAAATATTTTACCATTTTACACATTAGTATAATACATATTCTAACTTTATTTATTATTAATTAAGTGTTAATTTATTGATTTATGTGAAGGTCAAGAAAAATATTTATTATCAAATTTTACATAAAAATCTAAAAATATCATAAAAATAAAAACACAAATAAACTTTTAAAACATCATATAAATAAAAACAGAAAGAGTAAAGTATAACCCATATTTAATGGTGATTCCAAACCCACATTTGTCTTTACTTTCCAATTTTCTTTTATGGTTTTCGTAATTAGAATCCTCAAACAAAACAAGCAAGTGTTTCTCTTTATTGGCATAAGATGTTTTTTTTTTTGAAAAAAAATGGTTCAGATAACTAATTAAGTTGAAAAAATTGAATTTACATAATATGGATAATAATGGTAGTTTCGAGTATTTTGTACTAATTTATCTACATTTATGTTCTGAATTTTTGAAATTGAAAAAAAAAAATCAAAAACGTGACATAAGATGTTCGTCCAGAAAATTTGATCCAAGCGATGGATTTTGACACATGACACAACAATTAAATATTCTTATTTTTTGACAAACCATCTTAACAAAACGGACGAAAATTAGTTGTTTGTTAGTCAGGATGTTGTGGTGGGCTAACCTACTCTACACTGACCCTAATATTAGAGTAACCTTTAGATAAAAACCCTTATTAAGAAAACCCTGAAAAAAACCAAGTATCAATAGGGTAATCCAATATAAACCCTGAAAATTATAGGGTATTTATGGGTATCCATGGATATATTTTATTATGTATCTGTAAATACAATTCTTTTTGTAATTATTTCTTTAACACAAAACCTTTATATGATCAAATATATCACAAAATTAACACAAAACATTTATATGATCAAATATCTCACAAAAATAACATAATTATAATAAAATATCTGAATCTTAAAAATATTCTGAATCTGAAAATAATTATTTTAAGCATGTTAAGATCGCCTGAAACATGAAGCAACAGTCATATAAAGTCATATAAGTCCCTCTTTTTCTCAAATTAAGCAACGTGCAGACATGATGCAGAAAACATAATGAACACGAAACCAGACAAAGACATTATATTAAGTAACCAAACAGAGATATCTAATGGCCCCTGTGTTGAAATCTGTTGTAACTTATAAATAACATATTAAGCAAACATGCAGATGGTTTTCTGCATCACATCTAAACACTAAGCCTATTTACTGATTTCATCCTTTCTCTGATCTATCCATACTCTAGGTGAAAGTCATTTTATTCTCACAAACAGGGGAACAGACAAAAGATCAACAGATTGTCTTTATCTAATGGCCCCTGTGTTGAAAACAGAGATAACCAAATAGAGTAAAATTTATTTTCTCATCTTCAAAACAATCTCTAGACAAAGTGTGATTAAGCATTTTACCTTTAAATTCCTCAGCTACTTGCTGCCATTTCTGAAGCATTCTCATCTTCAAAACAATCTTCAATATCACCTAAGTATGAAGTTATGAATTAGACAAACAGAAAAACTTAGACGCAAGTCAAACAAACAAATATTTTACCTTCGACTTCTGCAAAATCACGCAGCCAATTGCGAGTGCAAAGTAATGCTTGGACATTCTTTGGAAGTAAACGGTTTCTGTAAGGATTTAACACTCTTCCTCCAACACTAAATGCTGACTCTGATGCCACTGTAGTGATTGGGATGCTAAGCAAAATAGATGCTAGAGAAGCTAAATCACCATAACGTTGCCCATTATTTTTCCAATAATCCAAAACTTCTGTATCTGCAAAAAACCTCAAATCTAGCCTCGGTTCATCTAAATAAAGATCCAAGTTTGACTTTGTATTGTTTAAGCTAGGCTGGATGCTCCTCTCAAGCTCCAAGAGATCCTATATTATAGAGATACACACTAAATCACTTACAAAATTTGAACTTATAAGGTAAGAAGAGAAAAAGTACTTACAAAATTTGGATCATCTTCTAATGGCGATTCAGTCAGAAGATCATGCGGAGTTAGTCTTGGTGATAAGTTAGCAGAAGAGAAAGCCCAAAATTTGTTCCTAAAATCTTCATAAAGATCTTTCAAGTTCTTCTTAACAACTTCGATCTTCTTCTTAGAAGTACTAGCATCCACTTTGTTATAAGCTGATTCAAGAATCTGCAGCTTCAACCGTGGGTTTAACACAACTCCCATCGCTAATATGAGACTATACTCATCCCAGTATTTTGCAAATTTAATTTGCATTGGTTTAACCATATCTTCTACTTGAACATCACCACAATTGGTATATTTTCTCAACAAACCCTCAATTTTCCACACTTGAAGAAAATATGAATTAGCTGTGGGATACTTAACGCCTGACATATATGTAGTGATAGTACTAAATGGCTTCAACAAATCACAAATCTTTGCTCCACGATTCCACTCATCCTCTGAAGGAAATGATTTGTAACTTCTGTCACACTCTTTCAGGCTAGCAAATGCTTGTCGAAACTTCAAAGCTCTAGCAAGCATATCATAAGTCGAATTCCATCTTGTAGATACATCTAAAGATAATCCAGAACCACCCTGAATCCCTACACTTTCAACACATGCTGCAAATGCGTCTTTCCTTGCTCCAGATGCTTTCACAAACTTGACACTATCTCTAATATTTTCCACAAGGCCATTGGCAAGCTCCAATCCGTCTTGCACTATGAGATTTAAAATGTGAGCACAACATCTTACCCGAAAGAATTTTCCATCACACAACAGCCCATTACCATTAATCATCTGAAGACGGTGCAAAAGAATCCTCTGCATACTATCATTATTAGTTGCATTATCCAAAGTGATTGTGAAAACTTTCTTCTCCAAACCCCAATCCTTTAAGCAACTAAGAACTGTGTTAGCTAGTTCCTGACCAGTGTGTGGAGGTTTCACATCACAAAATGCTAGGATTTTGTTATGTAACATCCATTTATCATCAATATAATGCGCCGTCAAACAAATGTATCCCATCATTGTCGTCTGAGCTGTCCACATATCTGCTGTGAAACATAATCTGCCTTTGTATTCTGCAAATACCTTCTTCAACTTCTCTTTTTCCAACCCATACCTCTTAAATACATCAGTTGCAGCTGTTTGCCTACATATATAGCGACAATTTGGATTCAAATACTTGTCTCTTGCTCTGACTTTTTCATACTCCACATAACGAAAAGGCTGATCATGATAAATGATAATCTCACTCATCTTCTCACGGTCAACTTTGTGATCATATTGCCTTTCTTCGCCTACCCCTGAAGGCTTTTTTGGGCAAGTTTCTAAATGGCGTCTTAAAGCTGAAGTTCCTTGACCAATCTCTGTTACTAACTTCTTACTACAATGTATACAACGGCTCCTTCTTTTACCATCTAGCTCTACTCCTACCGATTCAAACTCTTTCCAAACAAAAGATTTTTGGCGTTTGTTAGAGACATTTACCGTTTGAGCCGCTTGAGTCGGGTTAATTGCACTTTGTGCTGGTGATGATTCTTCATTCGTTGCTGCCATGTAATCATTCTCAGCATCAAGTTGTGCAAGTAATCGTATTGTCTGTGAATCCATCCTACAAAAATCAAAAGGGGACACATGAACGTTACAATCTCGAAACCAAAAAGACATAATCCAAACTCAGAATCTCAAGGTGATTCAAATTCTCAAGATAACACAATCACATCTAAACCCAAACTCAGAATCGTTATAGTCATAATCGCATCTAAACAAACACAAATATATTCAAACAAAAAATTGCAGAAACCCAGATTGAAGCATATGTCGAACAATGAATGAATTTAAAATCCAGAAACATATAATTCATAAACGAAATAACACTTACTCAGATTGAATCAAATGTCGAACAATGAGCAAAAATCTAGAAATCTCAGAAATCCAGAAATCGCAGAAACCCACAAAGCTAAAGCAACAAAAATCGTAGTAAGCAATGAATTCACCGAAACCCTTTATGCATAAACCAAAAATATGAAAATAGAAAAAGAGATTGAGTGGCTAAATTGTTGATTTAGGGATTTCAATTGTAGAATTTGGAGTTTTTAAAATTGTGAAGAAGATGGTGTCGAGTAAATTTCATAGAAGGAAGAGAACTAAAAAAAATATATAAAAAATGGTGTCGTTTTAAGAGTATAGATGTATAAAAAAAAAGACTTGTGGGTATCCTAAACCCATTAGAATAAATCCTTTTTAAACCCATGTATATAGAGTATCCGCCCATATTAAAACCTTATAGTTTTAATCCAAAATGGGAGGGTTATGGGTTCAGAGTTTTAAAAGAGTTCAGGGTACCCATAGGGAAAAAACCCCTTATTAACATCCCTGTTTGTTAGTGATGAAAATGCCACTTCAACCCAAAATTAGCCTTCTTTCTAGCTTAATATGCCTCACATGTCTCTTAATATGCATGTTTTCTAGAAACTATTCACCAAAGCTATGCGTACCTCATCCTTCATAGTTCATATATCTACCATTTTCAATTTTGATGACAAAATTTATTTGTATAGAACCTGTTATGGTTCTTCTGTCTAAAGGCGACAACTTTTAACAGTTTAAATCACCACAAATCAAGACTGAGATATTTCTGAGAAAAGAACAGAATCTACTACAGAAAAGTAAAGTAATAAGAATTGGTGCGAGAAAATAAAAGAGCACATAGCAAGATTTTATGAGTTCACTCTGATCGGAGTTATGTTTCGTTAGGATGTTTCTTAGAATTCACTAGAACATAGTGATTACAAGAGATAGTTAAATCCTCAATCCTTTACAAAATCTCTCGATGTTTATTTCTCTTACTCTCTATATATTTTTCAAAAACCCAAACAAAGCTTTTTCACTGTTTTAACAACTGTATCTTTGTCCATGTGCTTTTGTATTTATACAACTTTTGTATTAACCTAATTTTTTTGACTGCACCACATCAACTACTGTTATTTAGTGTGTATTGAGCTGAGCAGTTTTAAACTTTTTTCAGATCACCTTCAACGGAAGGTTCTCAACAAACAATACGTTTTTGAAAGAAGAAACTTTGAGATACGTTTCTATATATTTGGCACTCAATAATGGTTAAATTATTATTTTTAAAATTAAAATTTAATCAAATATTTAAATAATAATTATATATAGTTGAGATACCATTTTGGGAATCTATACTGATGTAGCTGCTCTTTAACGTATATCTTAGTAGAGAGCAGTTTCTGCTTTTGCCAGCAGTAACGACAATATTTGCTTTTGCTTTATAGCAGTAGCAAACGGCTAATTTTGTGGACATGCAGTGAGGCATTGTAAAATTCTTACCTGGCACAGCTTGTTCTCCACGCTTGTTTTTTGTACGGAATTGTCTTCATTTATGAATGCAAATCTAAAACTAATTGATAGAACCCTTTAGCAGATTTTTTATTTATAAATTTTTTTTGTTAATAGCCTAGTTATTACTTTTTCCGTTTCATAAAGAGTGTTGTTTTTGTTTTATAAAGAGTCTCATTTTGTATTTTCAATGCAAAATTTTTAAACAAAAATCTAGTTTTAATCTTGTTATATTAGTGTATTAACTTGAAAAAAAAAATTGTTTCATGTATTTATAAGGGATAGAAGAGAATTTTAATTAAGTTTTTTAATTTGTGTAAAAAATGTCAAAATAACATTCTTTATCAAATAAAAAGTATCGTTTTGTATTTCCAATACAAATTTTTAAACAAAAATCTACTTTTAATCTTGTTATATTAATGTATTAACTAGAAATAAAAAAATTGTTTAATGTATTTATAAGGAATAGAGGAGACTTGTAATTAAGTTTCTTAATTTGTATAAAAAATGTCAAAATAACACTTTTTCTACAATAAAGGAGTAGAATATAATTAATTATTAAATTAATTTGACTGCATTAACCAAAAAGAAAGAAAAAATTTGACATAGGAAAACAAAACCATAAATGGCGTATATAATCTACATTAATTATTTTACCTGGAACATTTAAATGCCACTTCAAGATTTTCCATGTTTTAAACACTTTTCGACTATGTGCAACGCAAATGCTTTCCATACAGCATCTCCATCGATCTAGCTAGCTATATAAATAATGGTTATCGTACCTCTAGAACTGTTTCCAGATATAGTACACGTTTTACATTCATGAAAACCTAAATCTAGGCAAAAAATATATAAATTCATCTGCTCATAGAAATGCATCCGCATTATAACGAAACATAACAATACAAATATGTACATTAATGTATTGTACATTAATGTATTGTTGCCTTGAATTAGCAATATATGTTAATTCTGCCAGAAAATAAAACAAACGGCGGTATTTTGGCATAAAGTTAAATCCATGGACAAAATTTATACCTCTAAGCTAACATATTTTACTTATTTTGCATGGACATAGTTTTGTATTCTTGTATGCTTGGGTAAATGTAAAAAAAGAAACCGGGTCTATGCAAAATAATCTGAACAAACGAAAAAATGTCAATAAGGTGACGAAAAATATTGTAAGAAAGCAACTTTAACAGAATTTTGTTCCAATATTTTCCTAAATAGATAGAGAAAGTATTCGAAGGAAAAGTAAATTGTCTTTTTGGTTCGGAAGAGAAGAATATATTGAAGCACGTTAATTTCCCTCCAGGTGGTGTATAAATAGACATGATTATATCACTGAGTCAGAGAACAAACACAATAATCCCATAGATTAAGAAAACCACATACACAAAATCAGCCAAATCTTTTTCAAAGATGGCGAACGAAAACTCAAGAAATGTCCAAGCATTGGCGATAGGAACTATGGTTAGCTTCAAGATGAGGACTACGGGAGATCAGTATCAGGGAATGGTCTTCTATTTTACCCCACAGCCTAATGGTTTTCTCTTTGGGCTCCAAAACGGTAATTAAGTTAAAATTTTGTGGAAAGACAAGTGAGTAATGAATTGAGATTTATTCTTGGGTTTTCTTAATTACGAGAGTAGTGGTGGATTTTGGAAAAACTTAGATATTAATTGTAAATCTAGCTGAAATTATAGATTATTTGTCAAAAAAACTTAATTAGGGTTTCTACTTTCGTTTTTGCTGGTTTGTTAATTTTCTATTTCGTTTTATGTTGTTGGGAGTGAAATGATTTTTGTATATGTGGTTTTGTACAGTTGATGTGTGGAGGATGGATGGGAGATATGAACATATCTCAGGGTTTAGCCACTTTAATCTAAACGACATTACGGTTCGTATCACAAGAAAACGTCAATTTTTTATGTTCTATCAAATATTATTGTTCATCAATAATACAAAATACACACTACTTCAAATTGTTTTCTTCTTGTAACCAGGAGTTTGAAGTGGACGTAGTTGCAAGGCGACCCAACTACGCTCAGGTAAAACTGAAATTCATACATTAGAATAGGATGCCATATGAAGATCTTATGAGATAATAAGAAAGACATATATATAATTATGGAATTTTTTAAATATTTTTATTTTCTCATCAGGGTGGTCGGAACAATAACCGCGATGGTGGATCATCATCCAAAGCAATTGAGAACAAAATGGGATCTCTACGCCTCGATCCGCCTTCAAAGTGATTGTTTACACATATATTACATTTCTCTGAGTCATATTCCAACTTATACATAACATGCATATACGAAGTTATAAACCATACCATCCAATAATGTAGTTTATACTATATATAGCAATATTATGTCGTTGTGTCTAGTATAAGACCTTCCTAGTTTCTTCTATGTCTGGTGCTTTAGTGTCCATCCAATAAAGTTAAGTGATTGTGAGATTTTATGATTTAATTAAAATTATTGAAGGTACTTTTCTGTATGCATGTTCTTTTTCTTTTCTTGGGTGAATTTTCCCATCAAAGATGGAATCTTAAGATCTTAAGATCAAGTGTCATCACATCACACACAAAAAAAACAAACGTTTTCATATGACTAGGCCTTCTAATCAGACTGTAAATTTCAATGTGAACCGAAGTTTAGTTCTAAACCGAAGGGTATTATCCTATACCAAGTAAAATTGAATTTAACCGGACTAATTAACAAATAACCCAAAATTTTTAAATAGCAATAGTCGAAAGTTGCCAAAAAAAAAAAAAAATACTCGAAATAATAACATCATATCTATTACTAATAAAAGTTGATGTTAAATGCATATAAGGGTGTCTACATAGGATTTAAAGATTCAATTATATTGGTACACATTATCATTATTTTTAGTTAATTGTATATTATATATTAAAATTAATTAATTCGTTTTAGTTGTTATAAGAAAAATTTGTAAATTTAATTAATTTTGTTTTTGTTGTTATTAGGAAAGTTTATAAATTTAAAGTTAGCTATTAATAAAAGAAGAGTTTTGAAAATAGATCTTATTTTTCTATTAACAATAAAAAGGTAAATTAACATATAAATAGATTATGAAAGAAAAAAATCATATATAATGAATAAAATTATTAAAAAGTGTATTTAAAACCATAACTAAATTATTTTAAAATTTTAATCACTACAAACTATTAAAATCTGAACTGCTAACTTAAAATATATTAGTTGTGGTCTGTGTTGATGTCTTAGACCAATGAGAGCATCCACATATGACATATATACTCAATCTGATTAGTTTATATCAGAGTTTTTTATTAAACATAAAAAATTAAAAAATATTATTAACAATTTAATAAATTAAAACATACAAATATATAACATTATCACAATAGAATGGAAAATTAAGATAATTTTTTATAACTAAATAAAATAAATTTATGTCAAAAGTATAAATATATTATGAAAATAAAATGGAAACTCATTGTCACAAAAACAAAACTAACAAAAATAAATATGTAAATCAATAACGAAAAAGTTAAATTAAAAAAAAATTAGCATATATATTTTAAATGAGTAATTTATTTAGAAAAAATATTAAGATTTAAATTTGCATATAAACATATAAAATTGTTATTTAAAAATATCAACACTACCAAAAAAACATTCATATTAAATTATCAAAAAAGAAAGTCATCTAAAACTTATAATTTTGGGGAAATATTTAAAAAATTAATACAAAAATCTTAACAAACCAATAATGATACTTTATGCTAATTACTGAAGAAAGCAATATAAAAAATGTTTAACTAACAAAAACCAAAACATAAATAATTTTTACAACATGTCAATACAATTAAAATAAAAGTCCATATCGAGAAAGTTAAATTAACAAAAAGAGAATATTAACTTAATATATATGTTATTTATTTAACAAAATCAATATAAACATAATAAGTAAGAGAATAAAAAAACTTAAATAATACTAAAAAACTTAACTAACAAAAATAATATAAATATTTAAGCTAATTATTTAAGAAATCAATATTAAAAAATTAATTAACTAAAAGACTAAAAATAGAATTAAGTTTTACAAAATATTATTTAAAAAAAACACTTAAAAATATATTGACTTGATATCTGACTAAGTACTTAAGAAAATCATGTAAAAATATTTAACTAACAAAAACTTTATGTCTTTAAAATATCAATATTTTAAAAACAATGGTGTGTTAAAATAAAATAAAAATCAATATCAAAAGAGGTAATTTATCAAAGAAAAAAGCCGTATAAAGTAAAATTAACTTGATATTTAGGCTAACTACCAAACAAATATTAACTAAAAAAAGCAAATGATGGTATAAGTTTTTGAGAGAAGTTCACTTAAAATTTAAAATAACCAGTTATAGCATGTCAAAATAGCATTTTAATTAATTTAAAAAATAAAATTAACAAATAAAAAGCATTTATGTAAAAGATATTAGATTAATATATATGCTACTTATTTGAAAAATTAATAACAAAAGAGATTAATTAAAAATATAGATGTTTTAAGTATATCAAACCTGCAAAAAATTAGATAATTAAAATAAAATATAAAATTACCATTGAAGATATTTAAAATAACAAAAAACAAGATCTAAGAAGAAATTTAGTTTGAAATATAGTTTCAAAAACATTCATGATTTCTAAAATATTGGTGTTGATTATGGATAACCATATAAAGTTTTAATAGGTTATACAAGTTTCTAAATTAAACATATTATTTAAATTTACAAAGATTAATACATTGGTTGCGTCTAGTTGAAAAATTAACAAAGTAAAATACTACGCCAGTAACTTTACATAATAAGTAATAAAGTCTGATTTGTATACATATTTATAATTTAGTCAACATGAACAACACATAAGCAACATCCTCTAACATTTTAATTAAATAATATAATATGACAAAGTTATGAATCAAATTCAAATGAGAATATATGAAGATAAAATATTCAAATCAAAACATAAATAAACACACAAAAGATAAAAAAACAGTGATAATGTGAAGTCTCAACATCATCTTACATGATTAAAAACAAATATTAGCAAATAGTTGACTGCAAATAAAACAGATCTTATAAACTGAATAGAGATGCAACTTAAAATTCGTAGAAGATCTGGTGGAGAAGCAAAAAGCAGCTTTACACGATTAGTGTAGCTTACTAACAAAAGTAAATTTTGAATCAACATATATCATATATTATATATGTATATGTACACAACATTAGTGAGACACTTAGTAAAGAAACTAAATATTTAAACATATACACCTTTTAAAAAAAGAACCATAAAAATACTAAGTATACAAAACAAAACACCAAAAATTTAGTAAGGAAATCATTTTTTAAATCAAACATATGCACATCGAAGTTGGATAATTCGTTAGGTGTCATTATTATGATTTTACTTAATAAGATTTATAATTTTATAAACAAAAATAGGAAATACTACATATTATGTTTTAATTTTTTTATATAAAAGAAAAATTTTACACATATATTATAGTTTTGATAATTTAAAAGATATTAGCCAAAAAATTAAACCAAAATATTAATACAGACTCGCGCGTAACGCGAATTAAAATCCTAGTAATATATAAAAGTTGATGGCACAATGCATTGAGGACATCCACATGGGATTAAAAACTCGATCTGATTGGTCAACATCAACATATTCATTAATTAAAAAAAATGTTAAGTATAATTAGGATGAAAAACTTGATTTAATTGGTCCACATCAGCTTTTAAATCAAACCAAAAATTATTAAGTATAATTAAAATATTAAAAGTTAATTTAACAAATTGTGTCCAACAAAAAAAGTAAATTCAATCTGATTTATCCAAATAAACATATTTATTAAATCAGAAAATGTTAATATGGTTTAAAAATTTAAAAGTTTAATATAAAATTAACAATTAACAATACATGTATAAAAAAGTAACCATTATTAATTATCTATTTAAAAAAATCTACAACAACTCTATTTAACAATTAAAATAATGAAAACTGAATAAAAATATAACATAAAACTCTTGGAAGACATGATGGAGAAGGAAAAAATGGTTTTGCATGATCATTACAGCTTCTTAACAAAATTAAATGCAAAATTAACATGAATCATAGATTATATATACAGTGGTACACAACATCAATAAGACTTTCAATAAAAAAAAAAACTAAATATTTGAACACATAAACCTTAAAAAAAAAAGAACTATAGAAATTCTATGGACAACAAAAAATAATACCAAAATCTTAGCAAGATTATATTTCTCTAAATCAAATTTATATGTACGTCAAAGTTGGATAATTTGATAGGTGTCTTTGTTTTTATTTTACCTAATAGTTTTTTGAAATTTATAAATAAAAATAGGATAAATTACACATTATATATTAAATTTTCTTATATAAATGAATATTTTTATAATTATATATATAATTTTTAATAATTTTAAAGATAGTAGCTAAAAAAATATACCAAAATATTAATACAGATTCGCGTGTAGCGTGAGTTATATACATAGTATTATATTTAAATTTAATTAACTAGAAACAATGACTAGTTTACTTTGTGAGATTGTGTTCTGTACCTCTTTATTTTTCTCCTCGTCTTAATTTGGTTATAATCTTTGTAAAATCAAAGAAGAGATAAATGGATTTATAAATTAATTTTGTAATATTATAAAATATAAAAGCCTAAAGGAAACAAATTTATATTAATTATTATCAACGACAAAAAAGGCCATACAGAAGAATACACATGTATCAGATAAAAATTAGTAAAAAATAACGTCACACTTTTTTTGTAATCGGCGTGAGAAAATTGCAATCGCATTTCCCTCCAAAGGCCTATATAAAGTAACAAATCTACGGGAATAGATCCTCGCTCTGTGACTCTCAAAGAACTAACAGAATTTTCCAGAAGAAGTTAGAGAAAGAAACAGTTACAGATTCTCCGCGAAATCGATAACTCGAGCAGCCATGGCGAGCCAAGACTCCACAAACTCTCCAGGCTTGATCGTCGGATCTCATGTGAGCTTCACGTCGAGGACGGCCGGAGAGTTCTACGTGGGAACCGTCTACTTTTACGACCCAGAGAACGCTAGCTTCGGGGTCGACAATGGTTAGTTGTTTCGCGCTTTCTTTTGATATGATTGTGCGTTATTCGCGTGAACTGGTGGATTTGAGTTTCCTGATCGGTGTTTTCTGATGCGGATTCGGAAATTTCAGCTGTGGATTGTTCGAAATTTTAGGTTTATAGATGCAATCGAAGTCGAGATTGATTGTGTTTAGGTCGAAAACTTAGCTGATTTCTCGAGGAACCGAAATTGTGATAGTGAGATTCATGGATGATATACTTTGTGTTCTCGCGATGGTTTTGATGATTAGTCTCGTCGATCGATTGGGTTTTCTGATGCGGTTGCTGATTTCGATCGTTTTCTTGATGGTTAGTGAAGATTAGTCTCGTCGATCGATTGTGCTCTTGGCGAATTTCTGTTTGTGTTAGCGAAGATATTGATTTATGGATGCTGTTCATGTTGTTGTTGCGATGGTTATTGATCATTACCTTCATCGATCCCTCTGGGTTTTCTGATGCGTGTGAAACAAAATGATGATTTCGATCGTCTTCTCAATAGATTGTTGTTGCTCTGATTCAGTGATTTGGATTGTTTCATTAGCAGATATCTGAGTTTTTTTGTGATCGGAAATACTGATTTATGGCTTCCACGAGCTATCTTTCTGGGAATAAACAACTGCGTGTTCTTCGTCTTTACCTGATTTTAAGTCTTTTCTTCGCAGATTTCGTAAAACTGTGTGTTTTTCTTGATGGAAATACTGAACTTGCGACTACAGTTCATGGTGTTTTTGTTATCCACAAGCTTCCTTACTTAGATTTGCCTCTGTAATTTGTGCAGTATCTCGTGCGAAGAATGTTGCGGGTTATAATAAAGTCGAAGGGCATTACCAGTTTTTCCTAAAAGACATCAAGGTTGGTATGTATGATCATCATATAATATTGATGTTTCTTTTCTATCATCATATATATCTCGAATATAAATTTATCAAACTGTCTTATTTTCCTAAACAGGACTTGACGGTGATTCGTGTGCCACCGCCAAAACCTACCACCAACACTACTAAGGTAAAAAAAACTTAAACCTAGAACAGTGATGATCTCAAGCAAAGAGATGTATAAATGGGAAAGTTTTCAAATGGTTTTTATCTTTCTCAGGATGATGACAACAAGACTACTCCCGGTGAAGAATCTTTTTCCAAGTGACTCTGTTTCGTTGCAAATACATCGACTCATAGTACTTCCCTAATACATATATGATCCATAAGACCATAACACTCACCAAAATAGTCTAATGCTCTTTATCATCTTCCGCTTTTCCTTCACTTCTCTGTCAGATATTACTTTTTCCCTATACATATATGGTCCATAACACTCACCAAAATCTACACTACTTTTGTTATGTCCATAACTAGACTCTTGGTATATCGGATGTTTTTGTTTCCATTGGTTGAATTTCTTTTGATATCCATGGAGGAAGTTCGCTGAGTTGCAATGTCTTCACATTTTCTTAATCGAGACCTGTTTTTTTTTTTTTTAATCAGGGCAATTATCAATTTCTCTTTCTTTCTTTTTTCAAACATTATTTTGTGTATGTGTTTCATTAAAGATTCTTTCATAAAGATATGATTTTCCGTTTTTCAGACTCTTTATCTGGAACTTGATAAAAACCTAACTCAGGAAAACCTATTTCATTTTTGGTAATTTAAATACGTCGCCGTTTTAATAAGACGTGTTGGTTTTACGTTTGATTAGTTTTCTGAATTTAATTAGATGATCAATCTCCATCAAACTATAGAAACACTATCACCATCTCTCTGTCCTCGCCAAACATAGTTGGCCTCAAAAGTGAAAACGCAGATTTTTTTCTTAAACGCGGATTCTCACGCTATAGTCTTGTTTGTTGTCATTTCAAAAAACAATGACCATATAGCATTTGCAAATTATAAATGTAGATACGGAGTAAAATGTTAGCAGCAAACGGTATAAAATTACTATATACATATAAAAATATAGAGGAACACGGTCATAAATGCGAAAAAACACAGATATTGTATACTAAAATAAACAATGATAAACACACCAAAATAATATTAATTCACATTGGACTAATCAATCTTACTCCCTATTCTGAATATCTATGATCAAGGTTTTGTATTGTCATTTGATGAATTTTCTTTGTTTTCTACTTAAGTTTCCGAGTCAAAACTAAGGGGCAAAAAGAAAACTACTATACATTGTGCGTATGAGTTTTGTTTTGGGTCTCAACATGTAATGATGGTTTACCGTGGGATGCAAACGCTCCGAGAACCGCAGCTAGCGTTGTAATGCACAGAACGCCGGACGCTGCAAATACACCGTCTTTCACGAGATAACACTCACCGTTTAGCCATCCTTTGCCGTATCTCTGCTCTCTGTTCATGCTTGCACCAACGCTCATCAACGTAACTGCAACCGCAAAATTTGCCCTGCAATTAAAGTATATATTATCACTTATAGCTAATTTTTTTTTCCATTGTAAATTTGATTTAACAAAGCATCCATGATTCTTCTTACCAAGAAAACAACAGAAGGAATACACAAAACGGTATCGTTCCCGTTTTCGCTGTTTTATTCAAGAAGCCTCTGCAGATCACAACGTTTCCGATTATTTGAGCAATTGAAACACAGACCAGAGCGGCGGTTCCTAACCCTAAAGCATGACTTTCGGGTAGATAACACGATTCTCCATCCCATTTCAGATCTTTCCCCTGAAAAATAAAACTCAAAATTTACCAGATTCTTGTGTAGTCGTGTTCATAGAGCATAAAATGAATAACTTGAGAAACAAGTAAAGTGGCAAAAACCATTCACCTTAGCCTTCTGAAACTCAGATGCGAGACACAAGAAAAAAGCAGCGATACCAAAGAAAGTGATGAATATGAAAACGAGAGAAAGCTCGGGTCGCCTGTTTCGTGTATCTTGTTCTTGAACCTCCATACTAATAATTTGTTCTTAAATCCCCAGAAAAGGAAGAAGAGATTACTTGAGGCTTACTCCACAATTACAGAGAATAACTATTTGTGGACGCATACATTGATATATACATATCTTCTTAAAGAGTTGATTGGTTCTTTGTTGTTATGGTTGGGTTGTTGGGTTCTTTGCTTGGCTTTTGGATTAATAAAGTTGGTGTAATTTTGAATCTTTAGAAGAGCATGAAAACTGAGAGAAGACACTTTTGTGGGGCAAGCTGTTTTGGACTATTTTCTCCTTTAAAATTTATAACTACTGTATTTAGAATAAATTAATTTCAGAAAGTTATATATGTAATGTAGTAGAAAATACTTGAGTGGGAATAGAAACAAATGAACGTACGGACAAATTGTATACATATATCTTATTATATAAAATTGGATTCCTCAAGCAATTCATATAATTGCGATACTAGGCGAGTTAATCGATCAGAATTTGACATATATCGTGATTAAAATTTTAAAAAAGTAAAGATAAAATAATATATTTTAGTTTAGAAAAAAAATTAAAACACTAATCCAAAAAAAGAATATACAATTTGGAAAAAAAGTTAATAAAAAGAGATATTTTAATTTGGAAAAAGAAAAAAAATCTAAAACACTAATCTTAAAAGAAAAAAAATACAATCCACATTTATATAAACATATAAAATTTTTCATAATTTTTCACTAAACAAAATAATACTTTCTGAGCTTCATTATATAGGTATAATTTTCCTTCTTTTATTGTATTATTATTATTATTATCAAAACACTTTATATAGGAAAATACAATTTGAAAAAAAAAACCTAATAAAAGGAGATATTTCAACTTGGAAAATGAAAATAAGATAAAAACACATAAAATCTCTCATAATACAATCCACATCTATATAAACACATAAAATAAAATAAAAAAATATACAATTTGAAAAAAAGGTTAATAAAAAGAGATATTTTAATTTTGAAAGGGAAAAAAAAAACTAAAACACTAATCTTAAAAGAAAAAAATACAATCCACATCTATATAAACATATAAAATATTTCATAATTTTTTACCAAACAAAATAATACTTTCCGAGCTTCATTACATAGGTATAATTTTCCTTTTTTATTATATTATTATTATCAAAACACTTTATATAGGAAAATACAATTTGAAAAAAAAGCTAATAAAAGGAGATATTTCAATTTGAAAAAGTAAAATAAGATAAAAACACATAAAATCTCTTATAATACAATCCACATCTATATAAACGCATAAAATCTCTCATAATTATGTAAAATAGTAATCAGTTTTCTATTGAAATAATGCTATTCTTAATGTATTTGTTGGCCAAGTAAATTGGAAATAAAGAGTGAGTTAATTCCTAAACAATCTCTATTTTGATGGATGGTTAAGATTGATCATAAGAAAAACCTAAAAAAGAATTTGGATCATTTCTCCACGTATAAATAGATGCCTTATTCCATTGAAAAGGCACCACAATCATCATAACACAACAACTAAAAGGTAAGTTTATAGGCAAGGGGGAGAGAAGTCTGAAAGTCCAATCTGAAAGATCAGACTTTTCATCTTATGCGACAATAGCATGAGGTATTTCGATAAACCTCTTTATAATTCTATTATGTGATTGCATATATGTTTAAAGGTCTTGAGTTCATGTAATATATATTTGTACATGTGGTATCAGAGAAAAGAAAATTAACAAAATCATATAAAAAAAGCTTTTAACAAGACTTTTGAGAAGTATAACTTTTCTACAAAACAAAAAAATCATATACGAGAGATGCATGTGAAGAAAAAAAGAGAATTTGTTTGCTTGGAAAGAGTTAATAGGGAGAGAGTTAACATAATTGAAGAATTTGAATTGCATACACAAGTTGTTAACGCAGCAAAACAGAAAAAAGAAAACAGTTGGTAAAATGTTGAACAAGTGAAATAGGGTTAATATTGCTAAGGGCCCACAACAGACTCTGTGTTTTGAATATTTTAATTGAAAATAAACAAAAATTAAAATAAACAACTCTTAGATTTTTGATTTTATGTTTTTGATATATTTTTTTATCAATGATCTGATTTTATTTTCTAATTTTTTAATTATTTTAATAAATTTGAAATCTTGTTATTATAAATCCGCATATATACGGGTCTTAATCTAGTACAATATACAAAATTATAAATAAAAAATCTCTACACAGATCACGAAAATGAAAATGAGTAGATATTATATAATTTTGAACATTTTAATAGATAATATTCTAAATTTGATAAAAGGATTTTTAATCCCAATAATGATCTTTAACAGAACCCTGATCGATATATATGATCAACGAAGATGATAAATATTTTAGAAACAATTTATTCGAAGCCACATAATTATTTCTTGAATGACACGTTACAAACCATCAACATGTAGATCAAACGATGTCGATCAAATTCATCAATGATACGTTTCAGGCTTTAGGCTTTATTACTCATTTTTGGGAATGCACTTTTTAGCAGTCGTGAGTTTAATGGGTTTGCTCTTGAGAACAGGATTTTGCTCGAAAAAGTTGGTCGGTCGGAGTTCAAAGCCACCGGACAAAGTAGGCATCGTCGGAAAATCTTCTTGGCTTGGGACGTGGTGGAATCCGATGGTGTACCACATCACTATATCTTTATTCTCTATTTTTCTATTCCTGTCACATTCAAATACATTATATTAGCCCACAAAATTAAAAATACATATTAATTTGTCTCCTAAATCTTTATACCTATAATTTTACATGAACAAATCTTTATCTACATTATTGTAAATATGAAATTTCAAGAATATTTTCTTTATCAGTCCATGTCTTTGGGGTCGCTTTTGTTAATGCATGTTTTCTTAACTTTGGGATAGCTATTCAAAACTAAAGTTGATAATACGATTAATTATTCAAATATAATCAAACTATTTAATAAAGATCTAAATAATACCTTTGAGACCACACGGCTAATGTATCGTCGCCATGGCTCCGGTCGGCGTACAAACCGCCTGCCCAAACCTCCGACCTATTATATGGCGTGATCCACACGTTATAGTTGGTGAATGCAGCCCGAATCTGTGGGAAATCATCTTGGGCCAAAAGTGGGCCTGTAGCTGGCCCAGAAAGTAAACGGTATCCAACTTCATTGCCATGCTTAGTTTTCCGGTTAGGATTAACCACCACCAGCTCCTCCGCCTTCAATCCTAATTTCACCCGAGCCTCCGCCTCGGTTTTGGCCGTCTTTGGCCTCGTCGTCCAATAGCTTTTTCTCGGCGTGTTAACAGATTTCGCGGTTCTTGTGGTCACGAGTTCGTTTCGGACAAAGGAATTAGTTGTGCCGTCGATGTCAAGATCGAGACGGAACGTTACGAAGTGGTCGTGGTTGACTCCGACGGTATTGTCGGCAACAATTGTCCCGTGGATGTCCTCTTCTCCGATCTCTGATGTGTGAATATATTCCACCGGTTTAACTTCTAGAACACCGGTTAAGCCAACCTATGCCATATCAAATATGATGTTTCACACTGATCAGTATTTTTATCACACTGGAAATAAAACAAAGAAAAAAACTCGAATAAGCGAAATTTTGTTAAATAAAAAATGGTCAACATGTCACGAATCAAAGTCGAGAATCCGGATCTGAACGTTGTGGTTCAATCATGATGTTATATTTTGTCATGTTCCTTTTTAAAAAAAAATCTTATCACGTGGTTCATGTTGGTATTTAAATTATGTTGATAAAATGAAAGTAGGTATAGAGGTAAAAAAAGACAATGTTACCCCCATTTTGATGGAACCACTAGGTTTGAACTCATAGTCAACAATGTAGTCGTAGTTCCCAACGGTCGTCACGATCCGGGCCACTAGACTTACGTCCGGTCTAACCTCAGTTATCTGCATCATCATACATATGTATACACGAATCGTGTCAAATCATATAAAATAATTTATGATTATATAACAAGGCACATTTCTAAAATCTGATATCTGTTATTACTTCTAAATTTGGGATTTCAGCTTCCGTATGTCGCCACATGATATCTCCGGCATATTTTTCAAAAATGCACATAACATTTGGGATTTTGGCGGGAGTTCCATCTTGACCTGCAAAAGTCCCATCCATAAAAACTGCACCTGCTGGACAATCGGTGTATGGCTCGAGGGACACGGCGCATTGACCACATCCAAAATCGCCGCAATCAAGATAGGTAATGAAATACCAATCATCAGTTGGGTCCATGTAAGGTATGAACATCTCCGACAAGTGGCCTTTGTATAGAACTTGCCGGTATTTGTTCACCTTCATGTCGAAGATGGACGCAAGCGAGATTACGATACCGGCTCGAACGTCGAACGATAGATGAAACTCCCAATTTGCCCATCTGTTCAACACACATATTGTAAGAAATTAATATTAAGTATACATATATAACTTCAGATTACTAGGTATCAGTTTGCATGTATCTTTCATAATGATTTATGTATCTGGTAATATATGTAACGTATCCATCAAAGATTGATTGTAAAAGTGCAGTGTCTGGTTTTTTTTTATATTAATTTTACTGATTAAATAATTTTTTAATAAAATAAACGGTGAAGTATTACATAAAATGATAGATTGAATAAATGAACTATAAAAAACAATATATCGTGAATACTAGAGTGATTTCAAAGTTTGATATCTATAGTATCTGACTATTTGTGTGGGGATAGGATGAATAAAATTTTGTATTCACGTAAATATAAGATAACCACACACATGAAAGTAAATAATAGAGTTAGGATATATAATTCCAAATAGAAAAGCCTGAGAGTCTGAGACAAACTTATTGTGTATGGGTCCTCTACACATAGAACTTTCAAATTTCTTTTTCTTTTTCTTTTTGACAACACATGTTTCATGTTTGAGATGGAGTATATTATCAAAAAAATAGTAAAATCGTGAAAGCTACCCGAGATTTTTTTTATATTTTTTTCAAATTTTAAAGCAAAGAGGATTGACGGAATTAATTAGCAAAATAAAAACAAGTACA